CTTTTTTCTTTTTGCTTATGTGGTGCTGAGGAATCGAACCCAGGGCCTCAGGCATGCAAGGCAAGCGCTCTACCACTGAGCCACCTTTCCAACCCTTGTTTGTTTTTTTGACAGTTGTGGTACTTGAACTCTGAGCATAGGCATTGTCCTTGAGCCCTTCAGCTCAAGGCTAGCTCTCTACCACTTGAGCCACTGCACCACTTCTGGCTTAATTGGAAACAAGAGTCTCATAGACATTCCTCACCAGACTGGCTTTGAACCTTGATCCTCAGATCTCAGCCTCCTGAGTAGCTAGGGTTATAGGGGAGAACCACTGGTGCCTGGCTGACATCTTTGGGGCTGGAAAGGTGCTTCAGTGGTAAAGTATTTGCCTTGCATGCATGAGACCCTGGGTTTAATTCCTCAGCACCATGTAAACAGAAGCCAGAAGTGGTGCTGTGGCTCAAGTGATAAAGCACTAGCCTTGAGCTGAAGATCTGAGGGACAGTGCCCAGGCCCAGAGTTCAGGCCCCACCACTGACCAAAAAAAAAAAAAAAAAGACATCTTTTTTCATATATTATTTCTATGGCTGGCTCTTTCAATTTAGGTAGAATAATAGTTCAGTACTCTGGTAAACACTAGGCACTGCCAAGTGGAAAGTTTACTGTTCTTTGTAAAGTAAATAGAAAGTGACGAGATCTGTACCATTTGCTTTGTCCAGAAAGTTAAATATCACCAATTGATTCAGCCCAGATTCAATCCCCAATTTGAACTGTAAGCATTTTGGTTTGCTATACTTCCGCACAGAGGAAAGTAATTATAGACAGGGGAGACAGGTTTTTTTTTTTTTTTTTAAAGGTTAGGTCCAGATCAGTAGGTATTTTTATTGATTGATTGATTGCATATGTGTGTTGTGGGGTTTGTTTTTTTGTTTGTTTGTTTTGGTGCTGGTCCTGTACTTGAACTCAGGGCCTGAGCACTGTTCCTGAGCTTTTGTGCTCAAGGCTAGTGCTCTACCACTTGAGCCACAGCTCTACTTCTAGCTGTTTGCTGGTTAATTGGAGAGTCTTAATAGATTTTCCTTCTCTGGCTGGCTTCAAACCACAATCCTTAGGTCTCAGCCTCCTAAATATCTAGGATTTGAAGCGTGATCTACTGTACCAGCTCATATCAGTGATTTGGGATTATGTAGAAAAACATTGAAGGCATATTTTGGAAGAATACTTTTGTCTCCTTGGTATTGCTTTGCTTTGCTGAGTATTACCTGGTAGAATGTTCATTTTATTATAAATGCTTCCTATTTATGAAACTTGATTTTGCTAGGGATTGTAAATTCAGAATGGGCCTAATCATGGGGCAGTTTATGTGGTCACAGGATTCTACTCTTAAAAAGATGAGGAGAAAAATTACACACAGCAGAGAGCTAACAACAGAATTTCCAGAATATTTCAAAGGGCAACCCTCCTGTACCCACGTCCCCACCCAAGTTCTCAGGATCCCTAGTTATACTGATATTGATGTACTTCCAGAAACCAAAGCAATGTGATCAGAGCCCCTGAGGCCAAATAAACCAGATCTCCCTCCCTCCTGCATTCCTTTCTTCTCTTTCTGTGCTTCGCCCTCCTTCTCAGGACCTGGCCATTTAAGCTACTCAGGCTGGTCCTAAACTCACCATCCTTTAGTCTCTAAAGTGCTAGAATTACAGATATATGCCACCATATCTGGCTTGTAGAGAAGTTTAAAATATTCTATAAAACCAACCTCTTTCTCTTCCCTCTCTCTGCTCTCTCCTCCTTCTCTCCTGTCTTCTCTCTCTCCTCCCGGTCTTCTCTTTCTGTCAGTTGGTTTGAACTCAGGGCCTGGTTGTGGTCCCTGAGCTCTTTAGCTCAAAGCTAGTGCTCTACCACTTTGAGCCACAGCTCTATTTCTGGTTTGTTGGTGGTTAATTGGAGATAAGAACCTCACAGACTTTCCTGCCTGGGTTGAGTTTGAACCGTGGTCCTCAGATCTCAGCCTCCTGACTAGCTAGGATTACAGGCATGAGCCACCAATGCCTGGCTATAAAACCAATCTCTTTTACCCCAGCTTTTACTTTTTTGAATAGAGAGTATATAAATATAAGGGGTGGGGATATAGGGGTGGACAGAGTTTTTAAACCAAGTATATTTGTTCTTAGAGGAAAGTGGAAATAAAATGGGTGGTCTGAAGAGGACCTGAGGTATATGTGAAGAAGAGGTGACAGACTGAGCTTTGAGGAGTGATAGGAGTCCAGGCAAGAAGGAAAGGAAATTTTAGGTGGAGGTATTTGTATCGAAAGGTATAGAGATCCACTAGTTTGAACCATAAGCACTTTGGTATGGCCAGTACTTTGGCACAGAGTAGAACTAATTATAATTGGGCTCATGTATGTAATCCTGGCTACTTAGGAGGTAGAGATCTGAGGATCCTGGTTCAAAACCAGCCCAGGCAGGTAAGTCTGTGAGATCTTTTTTACCAATTAACCACCAAAAATCCAGAAGTGGAACTGTGGTTCAAGTGGTAAAGTTCTAGTCTTGAGCACAAAAACTCAGCCAGCATCCAGGCTCTGAGTTTAAGCCCCAGGACTGGCATACGTGTGCCTATACATACATACAGACAGACAGACAGACACACAGACATAGACACACACACATACATAGAGTAATCGTAGATCAGACAGGACTAAAAAAATGGGTTATGTCCAGATCAGTGATTTGGATTTTATCCCATAGTGATGTATTCTATAGTTCCATAATCATATTTAAGAATTTTGAAAAAAAAAGAGTCACTTGGATAGTGTGTAGGAAGCTACGGCTATGTAGAACTAGGACAAACAAACACTATGACAACTCTTTCAATAGTTTTCACCAACAACCCCCATTTGACTGGGGACATCCTGGAGGTGATATAGAGGAGGAGACACATCTAAAAGATAATTCAAAGCTGGGTGCCCGTAGCTCATGCCTATAATTCTAGTTACTCAGGAGGATCTGAGATTGTAGTTTGAGGCCAACCAGGGCAGAAAAGTCCCTCAAAAACCAGAAGTGGCTCTGTGGCTCAAAGTGTTAGCCTTGAGCAAAAGAGCTCAGGAACAGCATGCAGGCCTTGAGTTCAGGCCCCACAACCACCACCACCAAGAAAAGATACTCAAGTAGGTAAATTGATAGGACTTAAAGTTGCTAAACCCTCTAAAGAACAGAAAAGACAATCATTCAGGATGTTTCGATGAGTGGAAGTGTGTAACTGAGTTAGAGAACAATTCCAGAGAAGCAGGTTTAGAAAAGAGAGTGAGTATAGCTTGGGACACTGGCTTTAAGGTGCCTGTGGGACCTATAGCAAGCTCTCTGGCAGGCTTCAGGACTTGTCTGTTTTGGAAGCACTGGCGTATAACTGAGGATGAGGTCTTTTCTCTCCCCAGCTCTAGGCACAATGCCTCATATTTAAGGTAGTGCACATTGTGAGGTGAATGGATTGTCTTTCTTAGGTGATCTTGAACTTGGGGAAATAATTCCTTTTTTCCAGACCTGTGTTTCCTTTTCTATAAATAAGAGTTTAACCAGATCAGTGGGTTTCTACTGTAGTTTTGTAATGGTTTAGTATGTTGGACTCAATTTTGAGAGACAGTAAGTAATTTTTAACTAACAAAGAGTGATATTTGAGCTGGGTGTGGTGGTGTATGCCTGTAATCCCAGCACTTGGGAAACAGAAGCAGGAAGTTGCTAGTTTAAGGCCAACTTGGGCTCCATAATGAGTTTCAGGATAGCTACTGAGTAGAACCTGTCACAAGGAAAGAAAAAGAGACGAGGGAGTGGGGGCTGATTTCTCTCACTCAACTGTGTTCCGTTGTGATGAATGTGAAGCACTGAATTATAGTCCTACAGTCTGCTGGAATTTCTTTTTCATTTTTTAAATTTAGAAAATACTTCATTCGTTTCTATGATCAAGCCCATATAAATGTACATATTTAACATGTTATGTTATTCCTCTACCAATGCAAAAGAAACTTAAGTTTAGCAGTTCCAGATCAGCATGGGCAACTCAACGTGGCAATCTGGAATAGTGCTTCATAACTGTGTATAGAAGTGGGTGTCACACAGGAGTGGGGGTGGAGCATAAAATGACCAGTACTGTACTAATGGTAGGACTTAACTACCAAAAAGTTTCTTTATTTTGATGTCTAGGAGTTGTTCTGATTTAGATAATCATTGCTATTTTTGCAACTTCAGGAACTCTATTTTAAGAAACTTTCAACAAGAAAGAAACAAGTCATGGAGAAGAATGGGAACAACCGGAAGCTCCGGGTCTGTGTTGCCACTTGTAATCGTGCTGATTACTCGAAACTTGCTCCCATCATGTTTGGCATCAAAACAGAGCCTGAGTTCTTTGAACTTGATGTGGTGGTCCTTGGCTCACACCTGATAGATGACTATGGGTAAGATGAGCATGTTTTCTCATTCTCCACTGCATCTGGATGCTGGAGAGAGCTTCCATTTTGATAGCCATGTAACCTAGCTTCAAAACCCACTTCTACCATTTAACACTTATGTGGTCTTGGAGAAGTCGCTTCACATTTCTGAGCTCATTTCTTCTTATAAAACAGTGAGCACCTGTATTATAAGGAATAGAGATTCTGACTTAAAACATCTGTCACAGTGATGCTGCTTAGTAGGGACCAGATAAGTGATTGCTGTATCACTACTATTTGTTATTACTTCAGGAGAAATGCTGCTTCCAAATGTAGGTTGTATGACTATAATAATAGGGTCATCTGTTTTGTGAGCATTTTTGTTGTTGATGTTGTTTGTTTGGTACTGGGATTTGAACTCAGGGCCTCGTGCAATCTAAGCATACAATCTACCACTGAGCTCACTATCCACCTCAAGACTAGTTTTTGAGTTCTAATGGCAGTTTTTCAAAACTGTGAGAAGCTTACAAAATAGTATATATGGAACATAATTTAAAACATCTAATTGAACTGTCAAATAAAATAGAATATTACATTGCCATGACCGTTGGCATTTATTTTGGTGACATCAGATTTATGTTGATCACAGGATATATTTAAAAAATGAAGAATGCTCTTTTAGGGTTCAAAATGTAGAAACCACAAATAAACATTAATTTTACTCTAGAGCATTTAGTGCACCCCTGTGGCATGAAAATGTTCATGCAATCTCCAAAGACAGTTGAAAATGGATTATTATGTATGATGTTAAAGGAAAATCAAGCTTCTTCAGACCAAAACCAGGCTTTTAAAAAACGTTGTTTTTTTTTTTTAAGCAAGAAAACCCAAAGCCTGCTTCTAAAAATCAATACATTCGGGCTGGGAAGGTGGCCCAGTGGTAGAGCACTTGCCTTGCATGCCTGAGGCCCTGGGTTTGATTCCTCAGCACCACATAAGCAAAAAGCAAAAAGCCGGAAGTGGCGCTGTGGCTCGAGTGGTAGAGCGCTAGCCTTGAGCTGAAGAGCTAAGGGACAGCGCCCAGGCCCAGAGTTCAGGCCCCACAACCGGGAACAAAAAAAAAAAATAGAGCACTAGTCTTGAGTAAAAAAGCTCAGGGATAATGCCCAGACCATGAGTTCAAGCCCAGAACCAGAAAAAGAAAAAAAAAAAAAAAGAATTAAAATGTTAAAATGGAAGCCAGGTGCTGGTGTCAAACGTTTGTTATCCTAGCTACTCAAGAAGAAAAGTCTGTAGGATTTTCATCTCCAATTAGTAAAAAGCCCAAGGTGGAAGCATAATTTCAATCATTCAGAAATTTATAGTATAGGGACGTGCAAGACATCCTGGCTTTGTGCAGTATTTTTAAATTTATTTAAAAAAACTTTTTTTGGTGCTGATCTTGGGGACTTGGAATCAAGGCTAGGGCACTGTCCCTGAGCTTTTGTCCTCAAAGCTAGTGCTCTGCCACTTGAACCAAAGCTCCACTTTTGGCTTTCTTTGGAGGTTAATTGGAGATAAGAGTCTCATAGACTTTCTTACCTAGGCTGGCTTCCAACTTAGATCTCAGCCTCCTGAGTAGCTAGGATTATAGGCATGAGCTACCTGTACCCTGCTTTTTTTTTAAAAGGGAGTATTGGGTTTCACCATGTAGGCTAGGCCAGTCTTGAACTTACTATGTAGCCTAGCCTGTGCTGCAACTTGAGATTCTCCTGCCTTAGTCCCCCAAGTCTTGGGCTAACAGGTACATGTCACTGTGCCTGGAAGGGGACAAATTAGCCTTCCAAAGGGCAATAAAGCCTTATGTCGATCTGGATGATGCTATGGAGGCACTCATGTAAAAAAAATAACCAGGCTAATAGGAACATTTATTGCTTTGCTCTTTACTTTGTAAGCTATTTTCTATTTATTTATTTGTTTGTTTGTTTTGCAAGTCCTGGGCCTCGAACTCTAGGCTTGGGTGTTATCCCTGAGCTCCTTTTTGCTCAAGGCTAGCGCTCTACCACTAGAGCCACAGCTCCACTTTTTCTGTGATTAATTGGAAATAAGAATTTCATAGTGGCTTTCCTGCCCTGGCTGGTTTTGAGCCATGACCCTCAGATCTCAGCCTCCTGATTAGCTAGGATTACAGGCATGAGCCACAGACACCCGGCCTACTTTTTTTTTTAATAAGTAAACATTTAAACATGTTTCTCCCTTCAGGGTTAGCATTCGATTGCTTGTCTTAAATGTTAACATGCTCTCATCCTTTTTTCTCTCTTGCTTTAGAAACACATATCGAATGATTGAACAAGATGACTTTGACATTAACACGAGGCTACACACAATCGTTAGGGGGGAAGATGAAGCAGCCATGGTGGAATCAGTAGGCTTGGCCCTAGTGAAGCTCCCAGATGTCCTTAATCGCCTAAAGCCTGATATCATGATTGTTCATGGAGACAGGTTTGATGCTTTGGCTCTGGCTACGTCTGCTGCCTTGATGAACATCAGGATCCTTCACATTGAAGGAGGGGAAGTCAGTGGGACTATTGATGACTCCATCAGACATGCCATAACAAAACTGGCTCATTATCATGTGTGTTGCACCCGAAGCGCAGAACAACACCTGATATCCATGTGTGAGGACCATGATCGAATTCTTTTGGCTGGCTGCCCGTCCTATGACAAGCTCCTCTCAGCCAAGAACAAAGACTATATGAGCATCATTCGGATGTGGCTAGGTACATGTATCACATTTTATTGACCTTAAAGTCTGTTTTTGCCAGAAAATGTTGAGAATATTTCAGGACTTTTGGAAACTCATAGATGTAGTATTCCATTAGCAAGCAGAAAGCCAAGGTTTTAGATCATAGTTTCCTCTGTTATATGACTTTACCTCTGAAGTCCACCTGTTCTGTAAAATAGGCTTACTGGTTTGTTTAAAAAAAATTGGGGGAGGGCTGGGAAGGTGGCTCAGTGGTAGAGCGCTTGCCTTGCATGCTCAAGGCCCTGAGTTCGATTCCTCGCACCACATAAGCAAAAAGAAAAAAGCCGGAAGTGGCGCTGTGGCTCAAGTGGTAGAGCACTAGCCTTGAGCTGAAGAGCTGAGGGACAGTGCCCAGGCCCAGAGTTCAAGCCCCATGACCGACAAAAAAAAAAAAAAATTTGGGGGGGGGGTTATTTTAATTTTTGGGAGGCTTGAACTCAGGTCTGGATGCTGATGCTTTCCCTTAGCTTTTCTGCTCAAAGTTGACTACCACTAGAGCCACAGCTTCACTTTTGGCCTTTTTCCTCCTTGGTTAACTGGAGATAGCAGTCTCACAGGCTTTCCTGCCTGCCTGGCTTCAAACCATGGTCCTAGGTTCTCAGCCTCTTGAATAGCTAGAATTACAGGCATAAATCTCTGGTGCCTGGCAATAGAAAAGGCTTTGCTTGTTATTATTTTTTTTTTTTGTCGGTCATGGAGCTTGAACTCTGGTCTGAGCGCAGTCACTCAGCTCTTCAGCTCAAGGCTAGTGCCCTATAATTTGAGCCACAACACCACTTCCGGTTTTTTCTAGTGGATTATTGGAGATAAGTCTCACAGACTTTCCAGCCCAGGCTGGTTTTGAACTGTGATCCTCAGATCTCACCCTCCTGAGTAGCTAGGATTACAAGCGTGAGCCACCAGTGCCCAGCTATGCTTGTTACTGTTTAAGTGAAAAAGCTGAGCAAGAGTCTGAGGCCCAGAGTTCAATTACCAGTACTGGAATATATGCACACAAAAGTTTAAATCATAGTGGTAGCACTAGATTTTCAAAAAGAGTCTTAAAGTGTAAAATTTTTAGTGATAGTGATTTTCATGGAAATTAACTTTTGCTAATCAGAGGCAAAGAAAAGACATTTACAAACAATATCAATTAGTTAATTTGTAGTGAGAGTAATATGTAGTAGAAAATAAGAACTGATCATCTAGAACCCTCCTTTTCTAAAAGGTAGATCTATTGAATGAAGTCAATAAATAGAAAATTGATTTGATAGTTGGGTAATCCAAGAAGCTGGATCTGGGCTTGGAGGCATGGCTCAGGTGGTGAATTGCCAGCCAATGAGCAAAAGCATCAGCACCAAGTTTGAGTCCCTGCCTCATAACAACAACAATAAAAAAGAAGGGTCTATTTTTATTCTACATCCCATTAGAACTCTTATCATTAAACCTATTTGTAGGGAGGAAGAAACCTGTGAGATGATATTGGTAAACAAACTTCTGTTTTCACCTCTTTTTCTCCTTTACATGTGTTTCCTCCCTGCACCCTGTACTGAGGTTTGACTCAGGGCCTTGTGTTTCCTAGTCAGAGGCTCTACCGTGTGACCCTCTCCCTGAGTTCCTTCACATGTGATTCTAAGTAATTCTGTGATAGATAGAACATAGTGATTTTGTATAAGAATACAGCAAAAGTGTATTTGGAAGGCTTACATTCTTCTTTGTGCAAAGCCAGACTCTGTTCAACCTGCAATTCTCCCACCATCGCTCTGCCTTTGCTCTTTAATGCAGCAGCCTTTGCCTTGCTGTGAAACCCTTCCTAGGAAGGTGCCATCATTTGGTTTTGTGTTTTAAATCTCTGTATTTACTATGGGATGTCTTTTATTGTTAAGAATTTAATGTGTCTTTAATGTGTCTTTGCCATTACATTTATTAGGATCATTATAAATGAATGTTCTGCTTATAAAGCTGCATGCTGTAAGTGATCTACCCAACACTATTTTCCTGCAAGTTGCTTATGCAGAAGCAGGCACAGGCTATGTACAAATTTATTATTGTGAGGATGGACAGCTCTTGTTCACTGACTGTGTTTCTTTTCCCTATAGTTTAAAAAACAAAGTAATCCCCTTTCTTTGCTGTTTTCATTGTTTTTGGACTTCTATTAACTATAAATGTTAATTGAATGGGCTGTTTTTGGAATTCTTGTATTTTATCGTTTCCAATTGTTTTGTTTGTTTGTTTGTTTCATGCTGGCATTGAACCAAAGACCTTGAGCATCCAAGGCAAGTGCTCTCTCATTGAGCTGCACTCCCAGCCTTCCAATAGGCTCTTTTAGGCCTTTAGCTCTTTTTCATATCAAAAGATAACAATTATATTTCTGCTTTAGAAGCTAAGATGGGATCAATAAGTCTTCTTTTGTGTGTATATGTATTAGTAAAAACATATGGGGCTTTTAATAATGATTACTCTCAAGGTAGCAGCAGTACAGAAAGGAATTTCACAGGATCAACAGGTTTTCAAAATAGAATTTTTTTTTTTTCCGTCAGTCGTGGGGCCTGAACTCTGGGCCTGGGCGCTGTCCCTCAGCTCTTCAGCTCAAGGCTAGCGCTCTACCACTTGAGCCACAATGCCACTTCCGGCTTTTTTCTTTTTGCTTATGTGGTACTGAGGAATCGAACCCAGGGCCTTATGCATGCAAGGCAAGCGTTCTACCACTGAGCCACCTACCCAGCCCCTCAAAATAGAATTTTTGGAGCTGATTTATTAGTGTTTTAAATTCAAATATTATTGAAGTTTCAAACCTACTAAAATTTCTCCATTACTATGCTTGTAATCTTAATACTCTGGAGGCTGAAGCAGGAGAAGCCAGTCTAGGCTACACAGTGAGACTATACCCCAACTCCCCAATCTCCCCCCCCACTTCCAAAAACGGAAATGACAATGTTTGCATTTTTGTGCTTTGCAACACTTCAGAGTTTATAAACAGTGAATTCTTAGTTCTTGCTATTTAAAGGTATGTTTTATGTTTTTAGAGTAATTATTTTTATTATCTTTAAAGGTTTTAAATTCACCTTGTCAGTTTATGCATACAGTGCATATTTTCTTTGCACAGTAGGGGGCTCAAATTCAGAGCCTGGGCACTGTCCCTGAACCTCTTCACTTGATCTTAGCCAAAAGGCCAAGAAGCAATATTCCCGAACTTCTTTGTGCTCAAGGCTAGTGCTCTACCACTTGACCTCCAGCTTTTTCTTTTCTTTTTTCTTTTTTTGGCGTGGGGCCTGAACTCTGGGCCTGGGTGCTGTCCCTCAGCTCTTCAGCTCAAGGCTAGCGCTCTACCACTTGAGCCACAGCGCCACTTCCGGCTTTTTTCTTTTTGCTTATGTGGTGCTGAGGAATCGAACCCAGGGCCTCATGCATGCAAGGCAAGCACTCTACCACTGAGCCACCTTCCCAGCCCCGACCTCCAGCTTTTACTATGTACTTTATCAGAAATAAGAGTCTCACAGACTTTGGCTTCTAACTGCAATTCTTAGATCTCAGCCTTCTGAGTAGCTAGGAGTTCAGGTGTTATCCACCGGTGCCCAGCTTCATACAGTGCATCTTCATCAGTGTCATTCATTCCATCCTCTCAAGTTACCTGGTTCCATTTTTACATATGTACATTGAATATTATGACTATATCCAACCACTCTTCCTTTCTCCATTCATCTGCAAACCCCACCTGTTCTGACAAAAAAAAAGTGCTTTAGCTTCTTGAGATTCATTGTTATTCTGTACATTAGCTGTTGGGAGTTAATCTATAAAATGTTAAGTTTGCTGCTCTCTTTTTGAACATGATCCTAATTCAGATCTCTGCTTGGAATGTGACAAACTGTCTTTACCTTAGGGTTTTGGGTTTTTTGTGCCTATCTGGGGGTTTGAACTCAGGGCCTGGGAACTGTCTGTGGGCTTTTTTTTTTTTTCTCAAAGATAGTGCTTTATCCCTGGAGTCATAGCTCCAATTCTGGCTTTATTTTTTGTGGTTGTTATGCTTAATTGGAGTTAAATATCTCAAGGAGTTTTCCAGGCTGGATTCGAACCTGGACTCTCAGATCTCAGCCTTCTGAGTACCCTGGATTACAGGCATGAGCCACAGGTGCCCTGCTACCTTAGAATTTTTTTTTTTAAGTATTAAGAACTAGCTTTTAGAATGTGTTGCTGCATCTTTTAAGATTCTAATGAAACAATATGGTTTGATCTCTTTAAACAGGTGATGATGTAAAATGTAAAGATTATATTGTTGCACTGCAGCACCCTGTGACCACTGACATTAAGCATTCCATTAAAATGTTTGAATTGACACTGGATGCACTTATCTCGTTTAACAAGCGGACCCTAGTTCTGTTTCCAAACATTGATGCAGGTAATCGAACTTGAAAATGAAACTATGCAATCACCCTTTCAAATTTCATGTTTCTGTTACCTCTTCTTGACTGCCTTCTGGTCTTGCCCATTGTCAGTGAAAGCCACCCTGTTCAGAAATGCATTTCAATTTGCAAAAGATAATTAATTTTGTTATGGACCAAAGAGCTGTGATATTTTTGTCAAGTCTAGTAGAACCTTAATAAGAAAGAAATGCTAAAAAGTCTCAGACCTCCACTTTGCTCTCATTTAGTTCCTTCCTGCCACTTCCCATCAAAAAAGAAATCGCAGGGGCTGGGAAGGTGGCTCAGTGGTAAGAATGCTTGCCTTGCATGCATGAGGCCCTGGGTTCGATTCCTCAGCACCATATAAGCAGAAAAAGCTGGAAGTGGCACTGTGTCTCAAGTGGTAGCACGCTAACCTTGAACTGAAGAGGTCAGGGATGGCACTCAGACCCAGAGTTCAGGCCCCACGACTGAAAAAAAAAAAAAAAAAGAAATTGCAAAAGCACAAGTGGAAGCGTCAAAGTGGAAGTGTCTCTAAGACTGTAAAAATGCCATAACCACAGCATAAACAGACATTATCATTATTTATTTGTGCTAGTACTGGGACTTGAGCTTAGGGTCTGGACACTGCTCCTGATCTTTTCCACTCAAGACTGATGCTCTAACACTTGAGCCATGGCTTCACTTCCAGCTTTTTGGTGGTGAATTGGAGATAAGAGACCCATGGACTTTCTGTCTGGCTGACTTTGAATCGTGATCCTCAGATCTCAGACTATTGAGTAGCTAAGATTACAGGTATAAGCCACATTTTCTTTATTATTTATGTTTGTTATACTTCAATGTAATTTTTGAGCGTAAGCAGTTCAAATGTGGAGTCCCTGTGCATCGATCCTCAAGCCTGGCTGAGTACCTACTGGTGGATAGTGTTGTGGACCCTGGTGCTAGTGAGGCCTGAGGCAAGTTAACAAGGATCTGAGATGCCAGTGACAAGCTGTGGAGCAGGGCCTACACTGAGGCGTGTTCAAATACTGAGCATTGTTAGTTTAGCTGAGTATTTTTGATAAAAGATACAGAACCCTTAACAGTGCCAAGATGTTGCCATACTCTGAAAAACCCCTCTCTGTGTCCCTCTGCTAGGAGAAACAAAACAGGATGTTAGCTTAAAAAAAAACAACAACTTAGATTTTGTTCAGATAATGTCAGCATTTAAAAGCCTTAATATCTTTTCTAATTCTTAAAATTCTGTATAAATATTTATAATATATTTACTTATCTCCTCATCATATATTCTGTTTATAGTATACTTTCTTGATTGTGTATATTTTAGAATTAGGTATTTTTACTTTAGAAATAGATATTTTTCCCTCTATAAAAGAAAAGGGCCCAGCTATGTGTGGGGTCATACAACTGTGGTCCCAGCCACTCAGGAGGCTGAGGCAGGAGGATCACTTGAGACAAGCGTGGACAGCTTAATGAAAAACCATCTCAAAGAAATAAAAACAAGAAAGAAATAAGAAAAGTGCCGTGTGTGTGTGTGTGTGTGTGTGTGTGTGTCCTGCACATGTGCCAGTACTGGGGCTTGAACTCAGGTTCTTATGCTCTTGCTTGGCTTTTTCCCTCAAGGCACTCTACCATTTCAGCAACACCTCCACTTCTAGCTTTTGGCTGGTTAACTGGAGATGAATCTCTTTGATCTGTTTGCCTTGGCTGGCTTTGAACTGTGATCCTCAGATCTCAGACTCCTGAGTAGCTAGGATTACAGATATGAATGACCAACACCCAGCTCAGAGCCTATGCTTTTAAGATAATTGTTTAAATCCTGTCTGCCACTTGTTTCTGCTCTCCATAGGGTTTTTGATAAGTGGTACACAGAGAACTAACCTTAAAGGCACCACTTTATCATTATCTAGCTTGATGCCCCAGTTGTGCCTATGGTTCCCCTATAGAGAACCCTCTGGAAAACTGGATTAGTACGTGTGATTTGGGCTTCAGTCCAAAGAGGAGTCTTCAGCTAAACTCAGATCTGGATTTGGGAATAACAAGTATGGAGCTAGTTCGGAGTCTGCTCTGGCAAGTCTGAGCTTAGAGAGAAGTGGACAGTCCTGCTCTAAGGAGTTAACCTTGAGTGCATTTGCCTCCCTTAAAGACAGAGAACAGATGCATGCACACCTCCTGTTAAATAGATAGATGGCCTGTGCCCATAGTGAGCTTGCTGCAGTTACTGTGCTGCCTTCACCCACTCAGGTGAGCAACTTTCCCTGCCAGGGCTGGGAGCGAGGAATACAGAAGTAAACAGAGAGAAGCTAAATATTGCTTCTCCCTCATATGTTGTCAAATTATTTAAAAATCAACTTGTATTTTCTTTTTTTTTTTTTTGGTCTGGTCATGGGGCCTGAACTCAGGGTCTGGGCGCTGTCCCTGAGCTCTTCAGCTCAAGGCTAGCACTCTACCACTTGAGCCACAGTGCCACTTCCGGCTTTTTTCTTTTTGCTATGTGGTGCTGAGGAATCGAACCCAGGGCCTCATGCATGCAAGGCAAGCGCTCTGCCACTGAGCCACCTTCCCAGCCATCAACTTGTATTTTCTTGAAGTTTAATCCATACCAACAGGAGTGCTAAACTATTAGCAAAAATGTGAGCATACTTTGATGGAGGCTGTCTGGTTAACTTGGTCTAGTGTAGTCCGTGACATTCCCATTTAGGAACTATAGGCCTATCTTTAGTCTCTTAGTTGTTGCTTAAGGTCAACGTTTTTCCTGGGGTCCTAATAAAGGTTATTTGTTATGCTAAATTATGGTTTGAGAAAAGCCCCAGATGCTACTGTTTTGAGTTCTGGATGAGTTGAAGCAGAGAACTGGCCAGATGTTGTAAATGCTTCTCACAGATGGTGGAACACATGCCATCATGCACAGGATACCGCACCCCGCTATGCACCTGCACATCTACTCACACACCCACACACCAGGATTGGGAGAGATGAGTGATGAACACTACTGTTCTCTTAGCATAACAACTGGCATTCATTTTTGTGAGGCTTGTTCTCTAATTGGTGCTATACTTGCCAAGGAAATGATTTCTTTGTCTCATGAACCATTTTAATTATTGGTTCTCTCCGTTTTCACAGGGAGCAAAGAGATGGTTCGAGTAATGCGAAAGAAGGGCATCGAGCATCATCCCAACTTTCGTGCCGTAAAACATGTGCCCTTTGACCAGTTTATACAGCTGGTTGCCCATGCTGGTTGTATGATTGGGAATAGCAGCTGTGGAGTACGAGAGGTTGGAGCTTTTGGAACACCTGTGATCAACCTAGGAACACGGCAGATCGGAAGAGAAACAGGTGTTTACCTCTTTGTGGTTGTTGTTTTATGTCTTAGCTGACCATGTTTTCTGTGTAGTAGTTATTACAAAGTACTCATGAATAAGTGCTGGGCCTGTACTTTGTGAACAGTAGGCAAATAAACTGAATGACCAATAATTGTCTATAAATAGCTTTTAAGTAGCGCATGGTGAATATGGAAAGTTCTAGAGCTCTAGTTATATTTTTATTGTCTTTGTGCAATCAATTAGAGCTAAATGGTTCTTAGTTAATTATGGCCTTTAATGGTTTGTTTGAGCGATGATATGGTTGAACATGTCATGAATATATGAATGCTGATGTCAGTTTCTGGGCTAGAGTTCCTTCATAAGTACCTTAGAGTATGGCAGTTCTAAGCAAGGTGTCTGTTAATAATGAAAGTATAACTGAGCACTGGTGGCTCATACCTCTAACCCTAGCTACTCAGAAGCCTGAGATCTGAGGATCGACGATGTTCAGAGCCAGCATGGGGAAGGGCACTCCATGAGGTTCTCAACTCAAACTACTCAGAGAAAGCTGGAAGTGGTACTGTGGCACAAGTAGTAGAGAAAGAAGCTCAAGGACAGATTCCAGGCCCTGAGTTCAAGCCCCAGGACTGGAACCAACACACACACACACACACTAATGAAAGTACAAAGAATGGCACATTCTTATTAACGACTCTAGCTGTATATGCAAATACATATCTGTAGTATCTCATTAATGAAAAAAACTGAACTAGAGCCAAAGAGATTAGTTCCAGCTCTGTTTTTTCCATCCTTTCTAATTGCCACCTTACTTTCCCCCACTCCCAGTGTGGTACTATGCTCTCCATTTCATAGAGAAGATTATCAAGCATGTGATAGAAATTCATACTCAGTAAGCACTTGCCATGTACTAGACTCTGGGATCATACAGTAAACTAGAATTACAAATGTGAGGTCTTAGGAAACTGGCACTCTTAGGGATGTGAAGGGTAAACAAAGGAGAAGGCTGCAAGGCTTGAAAAGAAATGTACTCATTATCTTGCCCATGTAATTGTAACCCCTCTGTACAGTATGTTCACAAAAAATAAAAATTTAAATTAAAAAAGTGGCACTCTAACGGGAGTAGAAACAGATGATAAACTAGCAGAAAGAAAAATACCAAGATTCGTATTGCCAGGAAGACTATAACACAGGATAATGTGATGGGCTACATTATTAGATTGGTAAAGAAAGGCCTCTTAGAGATGACACTTAAGCTGAGCTGCTAATGACAAGCTGTCCTGTGTGAGGATTATGGAGAAGCAGAGGAGACAGCTGGTGAAGGCATTATGCTACAGAAATCAAAGGAGCAGACTTGCTGAACATCAATGGGTAAAAGGTAAAGGAGGCATAGATGAGGTAGGTTTTGGGTTTTTGCTTTTTGTTTTTCCAGTCCTGGGACTTGAACTCAGGGCCTGGGCACTGTCCCTGAGCTTCTTTTGCTCAAGGCTAGCACTCTACCCACTTGAGCCACAGTCCCACTTCTGGCTTTTTTCTGTGTATGTGGTACTAAGGAATGGAACCCAGGGCTTCATGCATGCTAGGCAAGCTCTCTACCACTGAGCTACATTCCCAGTCTGATGAGGTAGCTTTGAATGTAGTGCTCTCTGTTGCTGAGTCAGCAGTCATCGCATGTACCATGCTCCTTTGGGGACTTCTTGTCTCAATGCTCACAGCAAGTCAGAAATACATTTCCTTCCTTCCTTTTTCCCTCCCTCCCTCCCTCCCTCCCTCCGTCCCTCCCTTCCTTCCTTCTCCCTCTCCTTTCTTTTTCAGTACTGGGGTTTGTTTTTTGTATTTTGTTTTGGTCGATTGTGGGGTTTGAACTCTGGGCCTGGGCGCTGTCCCTCAGCTCTTCAGCTCAAGGCTAGTGCCCTACCACTTGAGCCACAGCACCACTTCCGACTTTTTTCTTTTTGCTTATGTGGTGCTGAGGAATCGAACCCAGGGCCTCATGCATGCAAGGCAAGCGCTCTACCACTGAGCCAACTTCCCAGCCCCAGGACTGGGTTTGAAATGAACACCTCACACCTATTTGGAACACTTTCACCACCTGAGTCACACTTTAGCCTCCTAATACAGATTTTAATAACAAAGCAGTATTAGTCACTGGCTTCTCCTCTTTAGAATACTGTTGAGGGTCCATAAAATCTTTCTTTCTTATTTCCTAGTGCTCTAGAACTGTTTGTATTGTGTTGTATATGACTTAGTACTATACTTCAGACTAAAAGATGTAAGTGCTGTATAAAATCAGCCCTGTATGTTAAACTAGCACATCTGTTTTGTGTTTATCATTACTGTAAATGGAAAGGGCTTTTTAAAACTGAATTTTTAAATATTTGATACTGCATTTATTCAATCAAGTATTTAATCATTTAATGAGCCATGTTGCTCAACCCTAAAACATGCAATCATGTCCTAGGTAGACTCATGTCCTAATGAAGCTCGAAAATTAAAATTTTAAATTGGCTTTTAAAAACAGAACTCTAGTATCCTTAAGTGTTTGCTGTATGGAAATCTTTGCAATGTGCTGAGTTTCAGGATTAAATGACAAGTCTAGCACACTGCTAGCTTCTTTATTCTTGGGATAGTCATACTTCTAAATCATTGTGATGTCACTGGATTTACCTAGGGGAGAATGTCCTTCATGTCCGGGATGCTGACACCCAAGACAAGATACTGCAAGCGCTGCACCTCCAGTTTGGTAAACAGTACCCTTGGTGAGCTTCTTAGGTGGGGATCTACCTCTAGCCATCAATGTAAAGCTACTGGTGGTCATTGATCTGTCCTCATAGTAGAATTTCCTTGGCTAATGAAGAGAGAAGGGTGGCAAAAACCGTCCCCCTATATGCTGCCCAGGGTTCTTGTGTAGAATACTTTTGTCTCCATTAATGAATGTAGGACTACTATTAGCCTAATTAGACTTTCTGTAAGAATTAGAAAACAACAATTGATACTCCCCAAAATGGTCTAAATCAGCATTTTTAGTTACAATTTTGACTGTCTTCATATTTCAAATTAAAGGTTTCTCAGAAATGTAAATAAGATTACTGAAATAGCAACACAAAAACAAATGCAAGTTCTTAGTGACTATGTTGCTAAAGCAATCCTGTCATTTAGTTCTGTGTAATTATGATTTTTTTAATTGACAGATTAAATTGCACAGCATGATTTATCCTGTGCATGATGTTTGTAAATACAAATATATGTGTATATGTTCACACACATTGAGGGCTGTTTGTTCATTTATTTGTTATTGGTGGTACTAGGGATTGGACCAGGGCCTTGTGTATGCTAAGCAAATGTTTTACCAGTGAGCTATGTTCCCTACCTCGGGACGTTACTTTAAAAAGCAGCACAAACAATCACTACCTGAAGTTTCTGATTTTATTTAGCCATGCCTCAGCATCACACGATATGTATGCCAGAAGCATTTCATTTAATTCACTTTTTTATTTTTTGGATATTGCAGCTCAAAGATCTACGGGGATGGCAACGCGGTTCCGAGGATTCTGAAGTTTCTCAAATCTATTGATCTTCAAGAGCCACTACAAAAGAAATTTTGCTTTCCTCCTGTGAAGGAAAATATCTCTCAAGATATTGACCACATTCTTGAAACTCTGAGTGCCTTGGCTGTTGATCTTGGTGGGACAAACCTCCGAGTTGGAATAGTCAGCATGAAGGTAAAACCACTGCTAAGCTCCTAACTTTATATCAAAATTACTACAGGTAATTAAAATTTAACTACTTAGAGTAGCTACCTAGATGCCTTAGTATTGAAACAGAGAAGTTTTGCCAACCTGAAAGAATAATAAAAAGACCCCTTGTTTTGAGACAGAGGCTCACGATATAGCTCAACGTGGTCTTGAACTCAAGATACTCTTGCCTCTGCCTCCTGACTGTAGGGAGTATAGGCATGAAACACTACACCTGGCTAAAGTATGATCTTTTAATGAGTTAATTCAGATTAGTGCACATTCACCATTAGCCCAGGAGGGCTCTTTAGGAATTATCATTGCTTCATTTCCCCATGTAAGGCTGGATTCCTGGGCTTATCCCAAGCCATCATTTAAACCTGCTGCACTGTCTCATGCAATGCCTGAGTTATTTGAAAAAGGCCACCAGATTCACAATATGCTGCTCAGCTAAGACCAGAGAGACAGATCTTAATCTTTTTTTTCTTCTTTAGGGTGAAATAGTTAAGAAGTATACTCAATTCAATCCTAAAACTTATGAAGAAAGGATTAACTTAATCCTACAGATGTGCGTGGAAGCTGCAGCAGAAGCTGTGAAACTGAACTGCAGAATTTTGGGAGTAGGTGAGATAAGTTACAAACCCCAAAAATGTTCATCTTTATGGACACAGTTTCCTGAGTTCTGAAGCTGACTCATTAGCATGCCTGTGTGAAGATGGCATCAGGGTATCCGCGGGGCCTAAGCATGGAGACTTCCTGGGAGAAGCAAGGACATTTCTGTAAATATCCATGCCATGGCAAAGTACAGATTAGTTCAAAACTGCCTGATAAGTCCTTGCAGATCTTGTGATGCTTCTGTTTAGGAGATCTCAGGTGAACTAATTTGTGTTGTTGGTCAAGAAAGTTGCTTCCCTGATTGCTAATTAGAATTCTCTTCCATGTTTGTGATGGAGCTCAGGCATTTCCACAGGTGGCCGTGTAAATCCTCAGGAAGGAGTTGTGCTACATTCAACCAAACTGATACAAGAATGGAACTCTGTGGACCTCAGGACGCCCCTGTCTGACACTCTGCATCTCCCCGTGTGGGTAGACAATGATGGTAATTGTGCAGCCATGGCGGAAAGGAAATTTGGTCAAGGCAAAGGACTGGAAAACTTTGTTACACTTATAACAGGCACAGGTAAGAGTTGCTTCCGTAACTAGAAATGGGGGCTGGGGATATGTCTGTAACTCTCAGCCAGGCAGCTACAACTCCGCCCCAGCCTTCCCAGGTCTTTTCTGAGCAGCCCTAGGCATGTGATTATTCTTCTAAATTCCTAGAAGCTTATCAGTACTACTTACTCTTCCCCAAAACTTCTGGTTTTGTCTCCCCATACTGAGGCTTGAACCCAGGGCTTCAAACTGGCTGGGATTTTTTAGTCATGGCTAGAGCTCTACCACCTGAGCCAGAACTGGCCTTTTGCTGGTTAATTGTATATAGAGTCTCTTGGACTTGTCTGCCTGGCCTGTCTTTGAACCACGATCCTCATATCTCAGCCTCCTGAGTAGCTAGGGTTACAGGTATGAGCCCTAAAAAATTTAAAAAGGCTACAGGCATGGCACAAGTGGTAGAGCAACTAATGAGCACGTGTGCAGGGCCATGAGTTCAAACAGCAAGACAACTAGAACAGAACTGTCTGCCTGGGGCTGCAGGCTCCTGCCTCCCCCGCTATGAGTTCCTCTGGGCAGTGGGCCTTCAGAATAGATGCAGCTCTCACTTAATGTAGAAGACTGGTACACAGAAGCAGGTGTTGGGTGCTCCTGGAGGCTGACCACCTTTACAAGGTCAGCCATACACACTCAACTCTCTGCAACAGTTGCGTTTGAAATCATAGTTGGGCCACAGGGCATAAGAAGATGCACCAAAAGTATTTGCTTCCAGAATGCCACTGAATAAAGTCAAATAACTTAGAAAGCTGCAACTGTCTAGAAAAATGGGCATTAGATAGGCTTCAATTCAAAAGTGTTACTACGGAGACAGGTGCCCACAAATCATAGTTGTCTGACATCACTGACTCTTGTCTCTCCTTACAGGGATTGGCGGTGGGATCATCCACCAGCACGAACTGATCCATGGCAGCTCCTTCTGTGCCGCAGAGCTCGGCCACCTTGTTGTGTCTCTGGACGGGCCTGACTGTTCTTGCGGAAGCCATGGGTGTATCGAGGCCTATGCGTCCGGCATGGCCTTGCAGAGGGAAGCAAAGAAGCTGCATGATGGTTGGTATATTTCCCACTGAGGAAGCCAGGCACCAAATGGTAGACAGATACTTCACACCTGAAAACTCCAAGCTGGACACAGGGGCTCACGCCTGTAATCCTAGGTACTCAGGATACTCAAATTGGAGGATCATGGTTTAAAGCTAGCCTGGGCAGCAAAGTCTGAGAGACACTTATCTCCAGTTAACTACCAAAAATCCAGAAGTCGAATTGTGGCTCAAGTAATTGAGTGCTGTTCCTGAGAAAAAAATAGCTCAGGAGTTCAAGCCCTAAGACTAGCACAAAAACAAAAATAGAAACTCCAGAGGGCTATACCCTGAAGCCAGAAGTCTGGACCATTTCACTCCCCTCCTATGGATGTTCCTGTGTGTCTGGTCTAATATTATTGTAACAATGTGCATAATGCATTGTAAAGGCGGGCCATGGAATGTAACTGCATGTAAGGAGGACACAGACTTCCTCCTACCTCTCTACACAGGGAAGGGAGTGCCAGGGAGCTGTCCTGAGAACTGAGCATCAGGGGACATGCAATTAGCCAGGCAAGTTTGGCAGGGAGCTCCTTCCAGGCATGGAAGGGGACTCCACTGCAGAAATGACAAGACAGGATGTCGTGTAGTAAGAGAGGAGCAGGCCCAGCTGGTCAGAGAAACCATTCCACAGTTTTGGGAAAAAGACAGGATTCTGAATTTCATATTCTTTACTAAACTGTAACCTTGTTTCAACAGGGAGTGGGGTGTGGGAGTTGAATAAAGGATGGCCTCAAAGTGGGTCTGGTCTAGAGTGACTCAGTTTTCTGGTTGGATAACTTGGAGTTGGGAAGAGGCAGAAGAGAGCAAATAGGGGAGGGAGGAAGAAAGGGGTGGGGGGCAGTTGGATCTTAGGCCCAGGAGCATCAGTGGTATCTAGCTCATAGTGTTTAAGGTTGGGTTTTTTCTTCCAACCTTTAAGAATAATAGTTCCACAGCCAGATACTAATGGCTCACACTTGAAATCCTAGCTACTCAGGAGGCTGAGACCTGGAGGATGTAGGCTTGAAGCCAGTCAGGGCAGAAGAGTCTATAAGTCTCTGCAGTAATAACAAAATGCCTACTGAGCTGTGGCTTAAGTGATAGAGCACCACTAATAAGCATGAAAGCTGAGCAAGAGTGTGTGACCTGAATTCAAGCCCTGGGAGCTGCCCACACACAAAAAATAGTAGACTAGGAGGCAGGTTGATCTGGGATGATGTGTAAAGCAGCCTTCTATTACTGTGACAGTATATTTGAGGTAATCAACTTAAAAAGAGAAGGGTTTATTTTGGCTCAGTTTCAGGGTTCATCTGTGAGTAGTTGGCACTGTTGGATTTGGGCCTGTGACTTTCCAGTACGTGAATCATGGCAGTTGCATACGGCAGAGGCCTGCTCACCTCATGGTGGCCAGGAAACAAGAAAGAGTGTCTGAGACCCTTTAAAGGGCATGTCCCCGGTGACCTAACATACTCTTACTAGGCCCAGCCTCCCTGAAGCAGGGACTGCAGGCTAGTGACTCAGCTGTGACACCTAGGCCTTTGGAGGAGACTTTGCTAAACCATAGCATGCTGCCAGATAGTGTCTCGGATAATGACAGAAACGCATACTGCTTATTTGACTTTTACCTGGCCAGCACTATATTTTATGGCATTTATCTCATCTAACCACCCCCCCCCTGCAATAAACCTAGGTATTGTTGCCCCAGTCTTTTTTCTTTTATGGTCATGGGGCTTGAACTTGGGAGAAGAATTCTTGCGCTTCTGTGCTCAAGACTAGCTCTCTAACACTTTGAGACCCAGCTCCACTTCCAGTTTTCTGGTGGCTAATTGAGAGATAAGAGTCTCACAGCCTTTCCTGTCCAGGCTGGCTTTGAACTGCGATCCTCAGATGTCAACATCCTGAGTAACTACTATTATAGGCCTGAGCCACCAGTGCCCGGCTTGTTTCCTCAATCCTGTAGAAAAGAAACCTTGAGGTAAAGTGCAGGGCAGGTCTGTGCCGCTGGGACTTGCTCCAGGCCTGTCTGTTCTTGGCCATCAAGCCCCACCGCCATAGACCAGGAGGCATGGTAAGCAGTTCAGCTATGTATCTGGGACAGTTGGGGGAGGAGCTGAGTGTGAGTCTGATCATTTGGGGGGACAAGAACATTTAAAGACGGATGAAAGTAAGGGAGCCAGAGAGGTAGGTAGGAGGCTACGGTGAGACTTGAGTATTCTTCGGGTGGCAAGTTGTAGCAGTGAAAGGGCACTCTATCTAGATGTTTGGGAAGGAGAGACAGCTCTGCCCGTGTACGAACTCAGCTAAGATGTGCTGCCAGCAGGTGCAGTTGAAGAGGGGCCTCCCCATGGGCTGCCAGCTTGCTAATGATTGCTTCTCCTCACTTGCTCAGAGGACCTGCTCTTGGTGGAAGGGATGTCAGTGCCTAAAGACGAAGCCGTGGGTGCACTCCATCTCATTCAGGCTGCGAAACTTGGCAATGCAAAGGCCCAGAGCATTCTAAGGACAGGTGAGGCTATGGCTCCATGTACCTGTGTTGTAGAAGGCAGGCCCGGACATTCCAGGACTTGCACAGAGAATCCTACTTCCCAGAGGGGAATGTCAGTCCGCTGTATTGTCTGTTCAGAGGTATTTTTCCTACTTAGAAAGGAAAAGAAAATGCATTAAAAGTATTTGGCAGCATTGCCAATGCAAACAAGTTTTAATTTGTAATGAAAAAAAGTTTGTTCACATTATAGCCTATTTTAAGAAATACAGAAAAAGAGTTCTACTATTCCTAGATACTGACTATTCACATTTCCCATCAGGCACCCGGGGCTTATGCTTGACAAGTACTCAGGAGGTTGAAATCCAGAGAATCCAGGTTCTAAGCCAGCTCAGAGCTACTAGATTCCATCTCCAAAATAATCAGGGAAAAGCAGGGCTAGAGGAGAGGTTTAAGTGCTACTACAGTGCCAGTTGAGCAAGTGTGAGGTCCTGAGTTCAAATTCTGGTAGTGGCAAAAAATTTCCTTCCAGTCTTTCTATTCATTTTTTTTCTATAGTTTCTTTTATAGAGTTGAGATTATATGTAGTTTTTTTTCTTGAATAATTGAACCCAGGGCTTTGGGAATGCTAGACAATGCCCTACCACTGGGTCTTGCTTTGTTTCACAAAGTGGTCCTTACATAGAGTGGAAGGGAGGGCAGGTGGCTATGAGGTAAGGGAAAATAAGAATTATCAGTTGGTATCTAGGTAGCAGCCTGCGGAGCAGGGATTTTCTCCTCTGGAGCCAAGTATCATAGCAGATAAATCTGAGTTGGGTGCGAGCAGTCCTCCTGCCTCAACGACCTATAGTCCCAGCTACGTGCTGCTTTTATGCTTCCCTCCCCCAGTTCTTCACTTTATCATATCATTTTTAGTAAGACTAAATCATGATACACTCCTGTAGTCATAGCAACTCAGGAGAATGAGGCAAGAGGATCGCTTGAGCCTAGGAGTTCATGGTCAGCCTGCGCATCAGAGGGAGACCCTGTCTTAAAAAAAGAAAAGAAGGGCTGGGAAAGTGGCTCAGTGGTAGAGCACTCGCCTTGCATGCCTGAGGCCCTGGGTTCGATTCCTCAGCACCACATAAGCAAAAAGAAAAAAGCCGGAAGTGGCGCTATGGCTCAAGTGGTAGAGCGCTCGCCTTGAGCTGAAGAGCTGAGGGATAGTGCCCAGGCCCAGAGTTCAGGCCCCACGACTGGACCCCCCCAAAAAGAAAAGAAAAGAAAAGAAAAAAGCTGCAAGTGCACACTAGTCATCCCACGAGGGAGAACAGTGAGCTGGGATCGGCCTGGACTACAGAGAGGGTTCCTGGGTTACACACATTGTCTCAAAAATAATTAAAATTTAAAAATAAATCACAAGCTGTGATTTTAAAATCGTGCCTCCACTACATAGTCTGAATGTACTTAACCGTGACTAGCTGCTAGCTCTTTTCTTTGTTCCTCCTTGGCATTTTCAACTCTCTCAGAAGCTCACATTCTGTTTTCCTGTAGCTGGAACTGCTTTGGGACTTGGAGTTGTGAACATCCTCCACACTATGAATCCTTCCCTCGTGATCCTCTCTGGAGTCCTGGCCAGTCACTACATCCCCATTGTCAAAGATGTCATCCGCCAGCAAGCCCTGCCCTCTGTGCAGGATGTGGACGTGGTGGTGTCAGATCTGGTTGACCCCGCTCTACTCGGTGCTGCCAGCATGGTTCTGGACTACACAACTCGCAGGATCCATTAGGCCTCCCACGAGTAGACATGGACTAAGACCCAAGAGCTCCTCAGAGGAATCAAGTTCTCTTTTAGATGATACCAGAGACATGGCTCGGGGTAGAGTGCCTGCCTAATAAATGCAAGGTTGAGTTCAAATCTCAGTAGCATCAAAAAAGAGAAAAGAAAATTTGATTCAACTGCTGGTGACATTGGCAGCCAAATGTTTTTGCCTTTTGTCTTCGCTTCCAAAATTCCCTTTGCCCATGTACATGTCTGTAGATGCAGCTTTACTTCGTGTTTCCCTGGTACATATCATTTTAGGGCAAACCTTATAAATTCCAGTCACAACTTCCTGTGCTACAAAAATACACCAGGAAGCCTTTAGACTCCACTTACTAACGTGCCATTTAGACACCAGGCCTTCCTCAAGACAGGAGCTTTAATAATCCTTCCTCCTCCAAGCTTGGACTCAAGACCACAAAAAGGGATTCAATCAGGACAGAAGAAAATCTTACCAGGAAAGGATTACCTACACTTTCTCCAAATGGCTTTATTGAAGTAGTTTTTCAAGTATATAATTTGATGTTGTAATTAATGTATATACCTGTGAAATCACTGCAATCAAGATATTGAGCATATTTGTCACCCCCCACATGTCTTTTTGCAAGGTATTTTACTCTCATGGAACTTGTTAAAGACTTTAGGGATCTGAATTACAATGGCCTTAGTGACCTTGTCCTTATCTTCTTAGGGACTTAAAGCCTCTGAAAGGCAGCTGTCCTCAGATCCACGCTACTGACCAGCAAACTCGGCTCCCTTCAGCAGCTTTTCATGCTATGTTCCTGTAACCCCAGAGATTCTATGATGGCTGTGTTTGTATGTTTTATACCTCGAGTGCAGATCTGTGAATCTGGATTCGGACTAAATAAGAATCTGTGCCTTCTTGTTGATGGCAAAACAAAAAAATCGAAGTTCTGCCTATTAATTGCAACCCGGAAGAGTGCCAGCCACAATTTACTAAGTGCCTCCTGTGTCCCAGGATCTCCACAGGGGCTTCATATACCTTATCACAATCTATGAGGTAGATATTTGAATTTTATAAACCCCAGATTTAGTATGAGTTCCATACCCAAAGCCATGGGGCTAGTGAGCTTTAGCTTATGATCGAAGGTTCCTCTGTGTTTTCTGATAAGCCAAACTTTTTTAAAAAACTTTCTGAATGCCAGTATCTCCTCATGTTACTCTAGGCTACCAAAGGTTTTAAAAGAATATCTGATCTACAAATGACTGTTTATTCCAGAAGTCCTCATCAGCTGTGAATTTAATCAGTATTCCTCTCTACCATATTCCTCACCAGAACAGTATTTGGTGTAGTGACAGTACTTTTAAATTATCTAAAAAAGCATCTGTGCATATTTTTCAATTTTTTTATTTTAGGAAAATGTTTTTATAATGTATTGTTCAGAGCTGACACATAAATTGAGCTGAAGGATTCAATATTGAATGTTTTCCTTCCTGATGAGTTAACATTAAAAGACAGGTTGGTTGACTCCTAGAACTCTGCCAGCTCCCTACATCATCTCCAGGGACTGGTTACTGTTGGGACATTCCATGTGACTGCTGGGCAGAAGGCCTGCTGCCCAGGTGGCAGTGTCTGGGGCAGATGGTACACACAGAGCCATCAGTCATTCCTTGGTTAACCCCATAGTCACTGTACACCAAACAACTGCATTGCTACCAAGTTTCATGCCAAATATGTGACAGGATGATACCAAGTTAGAAACCAATTCTTAGTTTTTGCTAAATCCATGGAAAGACTAATATATTCTGACAGATTATTACATATGACTAACATCTTTATTTAATGTAAATATTTTCATGTGACTGTTCTGAGCCAAATTCTGAAGAAAAAAAATATTGTTCATTTCAACAATATTGTATTTTGGGTTTTTTCCCCCCCTTAACTCACTAGCTAAAAGATTTCTCTTTCCAGAAAAGAAATGGCTTCCTTGGCTTTTTGAAGTTATATAAAGCACCTGATAGTATTTTTTTTTTAGGTCAGTTGTAGGATTTGAACTCAGGGCTTGGGCACTGTCACTGAGCTTTTCTGCTCAAGGCTAACCTAGCTCTACTATTTTTTTTTTTGGTAAAGGTGATGTACAGAGGGGCTAGTTACATAAATCAGATATTGAGTCTTTTTTTTTTTTTGGCCAGTCCTGGGGCTTGAGCTCAACTCAGGGTGTGGGCCCTGCCCTTGAGCTGCTTTTGCTCAAGGCTAGCACTCTACCATTTGAGCCACAGCGCCACTTCCAGCTTTTTGTTTATATGTCACTGAGGAATTGAACCCATGCTAGGCAAGCACTTTACTACTAGGCAAACACTCCCACATTCCTAGCCCTGTTAGTTCCTTCTTAACAACAACAACAAAAAAAACCCAAGCCTATTAGAATTGCTATATAATATTTAAAATCTGACATAAGAAGTGGCTTTTTGTGTGTGTGCCAGTCCTGAGGTTTGAACTCAAGGCCTGGGCACTGTCCTTGTGCTTTTTGTGTAAGGCCTAGTGCCCTAACATTTGAGCTACAGCTCCACTTCCAGGTTTTTGGTTGTTAATTGGAGTCAGCTTTGAACCGTGATCCTCAGATCTCTGCCTCCTGAGTAGCCAGGGTTACAGATGAGCCATCAGCACCTAGGTAAGCAGCTTCTTCTAACTAAAGTTTATAACTAAAGGCTGAGCACCCACTTCGACCAGCTAGCTCCATCCTCCTATCTGTTTGAAACCATCCTGTTTTATCTGTTAACAAAAAGATCTGAAAATAACAATAATTGTTTTCACTTTCAGTTTTTGTGGGTCAGGAATTTAGGAAAAGATTATTTGGTAGGTCTGGCTCAGTCTTTGCACTGTAGTTACATAGTGCCTGACACTGAAATAGCAGCAGGTAGCGGGGAGTATTTAGCAATTGGGCTTGCATTTCTTTGTGTAATAGTTACAAGGTCTCTGGATGGGCTGGTTTGGGCTCCCTCAGTGCATGGTAGCATGATGAGAAAGCTTATTTGTTGGTTGTTGAACTCAGGGCCTGGCACTATCCCCAAGGTTTTATGCCCAAGACTAGCACTCTACCACTTTGAGCCACAGCTCCACTTCAAGTTTTTAGGTAATCAATTGGAGGTAAGAGTCTCATGGATTTTTCTGCCCGGTCTGGCTTTGAACCAAGATTCTCAGATCTCAGCCTCCTGAGTGGTTAGGATTACAGGTTTGAACCACCAGCACCCAGCAAGGTAGAGCTTTAATAAGGTGGCTCAGAGCTACCAGCTATTGTGGTCCAACTAATTAGCAGTAAGCTATGTTGCTTTTAAGACCTAGCCTTGGGACTCACACAAACTCTTTCATTTTTTTGTCTCATTTTTGTGGAATTGGATTTGAAAATGCGGCCTTGCACTTGTTAGACAGGTGCTCTACCACTTGATCCATGTCTGGATCTAGATGATATAAAATCTTGTTACATTTTAAAACTGCATATCCTCCCTCAAGAAGCCCATCAGGTATAGGAGGCAAGACTGTCCAAACAGTTGCACCAAGTAAGTTACAGCCGGGTGCTGATGGCTCACATGTGTAATCCTATTCAGAAGACTGAGATCTGAGAATCCCAGTTCAAAGTCTGGTCAGGAAAGTCTTGAGATTAACTTCCACTAAATTACCAAAAAAGCTGGAAGTAGAGTTGTGGCAAGTGTAGTGTACCTTGGGCAAAAAGCTCAGGACAGCACCCTGAATTCAAGTCCCAGGATGGGCACACTCACCCCCCCCCCCCCCACCCCCCCGCCCCCACACAAAGAAGTTATGTCAGGTAGAGGGTTAGAGTTCAGGGGAGGGAGCAAAGCATCATTGACATGGCTTTTGGATTGTAACATTTGAATGGCAATAGAAATGCAGAGGGAGCTAAAGAAGAGGAACAAAAGAGGCCAGAAAACAAGGAAATGCTCACTAGGAAGCTGAGGAGAGAGGAAAGAAAGCCCTTTTCCCATACAAGTATTAAAGAGCTGAGAGATAGTGGACCTTTTCCTTGACCATGCAAGACTAACCTACTTTCTGAGCATACTACTAGTGTTTTCCTTAATCTCTATTTTATAAATACCAGGTGACAAGACCAAGGTTGCTACAGATGACTTTAATTGCTTAAAACAGAATTTAAAAATGCCAAATTCTACAAAGGTGTTCTTAGGGCAGAGAATGAACATGGGGGGCAGTCTGCTGGCAGTAACTGTAAACTGTAAATCAGCATGTTCTAATACAGCTTTCTGGGACAGCAACCTGCATTGTTCAACTCAGACACATAGTGGACATATTAAATGTGACTACTGCCAAAAATGTTTTAATAATGTGCTACATATATCTAGAACTGCATGACTACACTCGATGAAGCAAGTTTACAATAGAAATAGGAACCAAGTATCCTTGGGATGGCACAGATCCAATATGTGCTGCGGGAATTGAGGGACAGAGCTTGTCACACACACGTTGTCCAGACTCAGGTTCAATTACTGAATCCAACAGATGGTAAAGGTCTCCCAACAAACAATACCAAGACAGATTCCTAAACTAACAGATAATGATGAACCCACCATAGAGAAAATGTCTTAGGTTGGTGGGAAGATTTACAGGTGTCTTCCAGAAGCAATTCAGGTCACCTTTTAGTCAATGAATTCACTTTTCAAACAAAAATTTCCAAAGAATTTCATAGAAGAGAGAAATGTGGAGCTATTTTAGTTTAAATGGGGGGTAGAGGTCCCTAGAAATGATGAAATTAGTTCTTCATCCCTTTAAGTATGCTTCCAAGCTGCAACACAGCTAGAGGTCAATAAAGAAGCTTCGTGTATAATGTTTGAAACAAATTTATTCTCAGAATAATGCACAAAAGCACAGGTTGAGGCTACTGGTGGGAGTGTCCCTCCCCACCCTTTCTCCTCTCCCTTACTCTCTGAATGCCAGGGAGAACACAATTGAAGGAAACATGCAATCACAAACAATGATCAACTCTAAAGACAAAAGGTTTGGTCCAAAAGAACTCAACATAATTAATCCAATTACTGTGAACAGCCTCACTGAGCAGGATTAAGATATTGCAGATGTAGTGTTTCCACAGGGTGGCTCTTCAGTGCACCAGGGGGGCCTGCTTGAGGGAGATGAGGACTGAGCGCATGCGGGAGACGTCTTTGGCCTGTTTGCTGGACTTGGGGTTAAAGTCACACAGCCGTGCCACCCGCTCCCATTCAGTGCCTGGGGATGATTCATCAATGTCGTTTACAAAGGCTTCTTCTGCTGCCCTAGAAATGGTAACAAAACATGTTGGTTTAATGTAGAAACCCCCTACAGAGCAAGCTGGTGGCTGCCTTGCTACACAACAGTGAGGGCCTTTTCACCCCTGACTTGATGGCATTCTGGTCTTCCCAAGGCTAAGAGCACCTGGCCCGGGTCAGATTCAAGGGTGGCCAGCTCTCCTAGGCACAGGGTGCCTAGGCTGCTGTGTAAAATGGTGGAATACAGGTGTTCAGTTCAGGGCTCATTCTGTCTCTGACTGTCTGCTCATAAAGAGCATTAAAAGGCAAATCCTTGGCCAGCTACACATTGCTTTTAGGAACTGGAGCGAAGCGGCAGGCTGGTCAGTTACTTGGAAGTAGCTGTATTGAGTTTCAGGAAAATTTGAAACTTCTAAAAAGCCCACAGGTCATTGCACAATTAGTCTCTAGATTTATTCCTAAGGCTGGAGAGAAACAGGGCAGATCAAAAGGAATTTAAGACAAAGCTCCCATGCTAGCAAGCACTAGAGACTAAAGCCATTCTGGAAAGGGGTTTGTTAGGGCATTCTCTACTTCAGCCAAAAGTTTGCCATTTTCTCTCCAGCTGGGTGCCCAGGACCACTCAGGGCACACCCCAGCAGGAGAGCCAATGAATGTCAGCTGCTTTTTGGCAGGATGCCGCTCCAACATATTTTCACATCAAGTTCAGCCCACCCCCAGGTAGGCACTAACTGAAAGGACAGGGATAAGAGGTGGGAAGACACCATAGATTTATCTATTCCAACAAGCATCACGGGCAAAGCAAAAGCAATGGAGATGACCAGTCTGTGGGGACGGGGGGTGGGGTGGGGTGGCACTATCACAGGGATGGCCGTGGCAAACACCGCTGAAGCCTAGAGCCACTACAACACTGCGACTTCATGGCACACACAGTTAGGGGCAGTGAGAAAGGTTTACTTAACTGTTCTAGGCTGTAGCAAGGATGGTTTATGTTTGTGCTTTAAGGTGAAGAGAAGAAAAGAAACAAGGAGAGAAACTTTAGGTCAGATATAGAAAATGAGAATGAGCTCAATGCAGATGATCAGTAAGCTAGACATGCCCTTGCCACTCTTCTCTACGCTTGGGAACGTGCAGCTGGCTTTGCTGGACTACCCTGCTGCCCAGCAAAACCAGACTTGACCTTTCCAGTCTCCATTTCTACTCCAGAGAGAATGTGCAAAAGTCAGATCAAACACCACCTGTACGTCCAGCATTTCACATGTCTCGTTGCAAATTTCCTCTGAGGGCCCGGGAAACCCAGTTCTAACAAGTTGAACATCTCAAGGTCATGGACTCTAAAAGGTTCTACAGACCTCATCTTGCCACCCAACTTCTACAGGCTTCTTTCTTCCTCTGTTATACCCTCATCTCTCTCATGTAGGAAGTTGGGTTTTCACTTTTAAGGATATAGTGGGGACTGGTTCCAATTCTTCAGCAACATTGCTTTGACAACAGGAATTCGTAAGAAAAAATACTTTCCAAAGATGTAAAATTTGGGGTGGGGAGGGGGATGCGAAGTGGATCATATTAGACAGCTATAAACATCTTGATCTCACAGCTGGGGGCTTATGCTAGGATTGGGGATCAGAAGCTGGCCACTCAACAGCAATTTCTGGTATGTAAGACCACAGAAACAATGACAGACATCCACTGGAGAGAGTACCCTCTGCCTGAGAAGCAGGACCCCCACCCTCTCTGAAGTACAGAGTACAATGCAAAGTGCTGCTGCTGCTCACAGGCTCAATTCCTCCTGGGATTTTTACCCGCTCCCAGTGGGAGGCACACTTTCCCACAGGGACAAGCAATGAAAGGGCCTTAGCAGTAGCCGTGCAGCAACAGAAAGAGGTCAGAATCCACATAGGTCCCAAACCCTTCCTAGACAAGATCACAAAGGATCTACATTTTGAAAGGGAATTAGTTTGCCTCCCTCCAAGATCCCACATATGAGAACTGGCCATCAGAGGGTGTGGGGAATCCAGATTAACAATGGATCATATATATGCGCTTATCCACGCTTCAGGCAGCCCCCAGTGCCAATGTGAAATAGTTTAAAAAGCAAAGCAACTTGTGACAAAAAAGAAGCATTAACTCTTAACAAAAAGTAGAAAGAACCAAAACAAGAAAAGGAATTAGTTTTGCAACATACACATAACCAATCACGTCAGCGAAGGGTTGTTTGTAGAAAGCTTCATCTGCCACCCTAGACAGCAAGAGGTCCAAAAGGCAGGCAAGCAGGCAGGAAAAAAGAGAGAACATTGAGAAGCAGAAACATCTAAAATCCACAGTTGAGGTGCAAGTGGGCTGAAAGGCTGCTCATAAGGCTCCCTCCTCAACCCTGGGAGGCTTCCAGTGGTAGATGATCCGGCAGGCCCTGCCACTGCTTCTGTGTGAGACTCCCCCATGACAGCGAGCAGGCAGCTTCTGCTCTGTGGCTTACCCAGCAATAACCTGTTTTAGGGACTCAATTATGGGTCAAACCCGTTCACATACATTACACTGATTCAGTCCTTAAATGTCACAACCTATGTATGCCACTGCCCTCTTTACAGATGAGGTCACTGAGGCTTAGAAATTTGAACCAGATGGCTCAGCTATAGCATGGTAGAAGTGTTCAGCCAACACAGTACTTTCAACTATACATTAAAGTTGCTTCCTAGCTGGTGCATGTGCAGGAAGCCATCCGCAGGAAGCCATCCTGCGCCGTCCCATGTTTCTGCCAGCTCCAGTAAGTATCATTGGGTACTCACTGAATGCTGCCAGGCACCAGATGCACTCAATCTTAAAGATCTGATCTCAAAGCTTCAATTATCCAATTCTTGCTTCCCTATACCAGCTAATAGAGGATACATTTTCAGTAGCCTAGAAACTTATGGAAAAAATGCAACTGAAGTGGTCTGCTGGCAGAAACTCCCGACTTGGGTCCTGTGTGTCCCTGAGTAAGGCTTGCCTGGCTTTCACTAAGTGAAATCCAGAAATCCAAAAATCCTCCTTAACTCTCCCACAGATGGGAAAGCAGATAAACATGGCAGGGCTGTGGGCTAAGGAGGCAGATATACTAGGTGGAGCAATTTATACTGTAGAGGATAGGCTGGTTTTTAACTGTTGTTCCAGGCTGATTGCCTGGGAACAGGCCCCCTTGTCCACTATAGTTGGGCAGAAAGAAACCTTGTTCAAGAAGTCTCAGCCTAACCCTTGCCAGGCCAGTTTATGGTGGGCAAGTGGCAAGGAAGAGACATTTGAAAAGCTAATCATGTCCAGTTATTAACCTAAGTGTGCATATTCATCTAAAGCCAAGTTCTAGTAATTTTCAGTTTACTTTTAAACTCACCCATCCTCTTTTCATCTATCCAGTTTTGGTTTATACAGAGAAGATGTTTTGTGGAAATTTAGAGATGACAAAAGGAGCAGCCTGGTTCTAACTTGTAGTGACTCAGCAGGGAAACAGTTGTTTGTGGGCTGAGAGGGAGACAGAGGCAAGGCAGGCCAGCTTGTACAACCATAATCCTTCTAGTTTACATAAAGGGCTCAACCTAATTCATTTCAACTTCATCTTGCTCTCACTGGAAAAGAATAAAGGTTTAATGACTCTTGTCAAGGCATCACTTAACAACAAAGACTTAAATGTGAGACTCTGCTCCTTTGCAGCTAGTCCTAAGACTAAAGAGCTTGTCCATGACAAGCAGAATCCCTGAAGCACAAACAGCAAACACAGCGGCCTGGCCTGTGTCCACTTCACCCAGCCCAAGGGACCTGAAAGCAACAATTGTGAGCCTGAGCAGGTCTGATGGGTCCTGGGACAGCCTGGGAGAAGGTGAGGAGAAATGCCTGACCACAGACAAGGTCTGCAGAACACTTCATTCTATAAATTGTCCCACAACGGCATGGAAAAATAATGTCTACCATTGCTACCTCAAACTGTTTCAAGCCTTGGCAGAGCTGAAGAGTATCAGCACAGAAGCCAATTGTAACAGGGAGAATGCTTCTCTTCTGGCTTGGAAAGGAACATGATCTGGGGTGGTCCTTCATGACTGAACTGTAGAAGCCACTAGTTTTGAGTCCTCAGAACCATATCCGCAGGCTGTCTGAATAATTCACACTCTTGTGCAGTTGACATTTAAATGGACAAGATAAAAGGAGGGAGATGCAGTGTGAGGAAAAACAGTAAACTACACATTCTGTATTAGGGAAAACCATCCTCCACAAGCACAATCCCTGGCCTGGATGTGTTGCCAATGGCTCTAGTGACAGACTGGGTAGAGGGCTTCTGGAAGACAGCTGATCTGAGGATACTCAAAATTACCTAGATGCTCTTTCTACACACCCAAGCCTCCTCTTCTGAATGCCTCTGATTTTCTGGCTTATCTCTGGGGTCCTTAACATCCAGCTGCTACAAGAATCACCCATGGAGAATGACACCTGATGAAAATGAGTACCCCATTATCTTTTCTACAAATACAGAAAAACAACAGGGAAAGTAATTAACTTTATAGGCATTCATGGCAGAAAAGAATATTCAGCCAATATAAAAATCTACACGGTAGATATATGACTAGAGTTCCAGCATTCAGAGGCTGAAGCAGGAAGACCACAAATTCAAGACTAGCCTGGAATATATAGTGAGATTCTCAAAAAAGAGGGGAAAAAAACCTCTAAGGTAAGATGCATGCCTTGGGAAGAAGCACCCTAAAGTGATTTTTTTGTTGCTGTTGTTTATAAATATGAGGTCTCAATATGTAACCTAGGCTAGCTCTGAACTTGTGTGCTGTTCCTTCTGCTTCCTAAAAAACTGGGATTAGGCCAGGTGCCAGTGGCTCAACCTGTAATACTATTCAGGTGGCTGAGATGTGAGGATCATGGTTCAAAGATAGCCTGGGCAGGAAAGTCCGTGAGACTTGTATCTCCACTAGAAGACCTGAAGTGGTGTTGTGGCTCAAGTGGTAGAGTGGTAGCCTTGAGCTGAGGAGCTCAGGGGCAGTGCCCAAGCTGAGTTCAAGCCCCACAACTGACAAAATAACAAAAAACAGAAAAACTGAGATTATATGTATATGCTACTACACCTGGCTTAATATTCATTAGCTTATTTTTACAATACTGAGGATGAAACCCACGGCTCACACATGCTAGATGAGTGCTCTATCACTGAACTACATCTCCAGTGCCCCAAATGATTCTCAGTTGGCTCCTGCTTCCGTCCTCTGCAGATTCAATGGCATGAATGTGAAAACCACTCTTTCTGTGCTAAGACCATGGTGATGGGGGCAGTATACCATGAGCTTTAGGTAAACAGGCTCCGTCCTTTACTGCAGCTTCCACAAGGCAAATGACTGCGTTTCTAAACAGTTCTAGGCTCTTTGCATAAGGTATGTAAGTCCTTTCTCCTCTTTGGAACTTAAGGCTCACCTGACACCTGCCAAACCAACATTCTATAGTCCCAAGCAAAGAAAGAATCATAGCCCTACCTCCATACTCACAGACTCAAAGCTCTAAGACCCCAACAGGAGAGGAGGGAGCCCTTTCTCTACAGGAATTAGTTCAGCAAAAGTGTGTTGAAAAAATTGCTCTGACATGGAATCTAGTCTCAATAAATCTGAAAATCTTTTGGTAAGCTGCTGAAGTCGCACTGACCAATATTTAGGGAGGGCGGCTTGTCCTGCCATGTACGTCAGAGCAGACTTGAGTGCTGAGGAAGCTTTGCTGGCAGAACACCAACCTAAACATCTTTCTGTACAGATCTGGACTTGCACATGCTGGGAGTAGGGAGACACCCTGAATAAGCACAGGTTACCAGAGTCTGGAGCCGCCAGCATTCAGAAGTAGCTGCTGGCAGCCATCTCCTTACAAGTAAACTGCAGACAGCAGCTGCCCCCACACTTGCTACAGAACTTCAAATGGAACCTTGACAGGCACTCCTTGAATATATCCCTCAGAGGAAAGTGACCAGTACCAAGGTTTAGGCCTGGCATCCAAGAGTAGCTGACAGGCCCAAGGATGACCAAAAAGACACAAGGAATGAAGGGCTGCTGTAGGAGAGTCCATCAGTTGTCCTACAATGTATCAGCTGGCTACAAAGCCACCGGCTCCCTCTTTCTCAGCAGATCTTCATCAACTACGACTGTCAGAAACAAGGGCACTTGACCCAATCTGCTTCTTGAATAAGTACAGGAACCTATGGCTCTACTTTAAAAATGAAAACTCTTCCCAGGCCTAGTCTGGCTTTTTCCACTGAAGTAAGTGGAGCGACTACTATTCAGTGAAAGACAGGCTGGAAACCTAGGAGGTACAAGCAAACTAATCTGCCTTGCACGAGGAGAGCCATGTTGCATATGCCTCTGGGCTACTTCCAAAAATGAAGGACTTCTTGAGAAGGAAGGACTTCCAAGAAGTGAGTGCACTGAAGACTACAGCTGCCACTTGGTAATGATATGAGAACACATGTATTTTCTCCCCATCATAACACAACCTTCAGAGAGTAAGTCAAAGATATTCTGGAAAAAAAAAAAGCATTATTTAGAAGCCAATCCAAGATTTTCTTGGGCACAGGTTAAATACTCAGTGAACCCATAATTTTGAAGTCACCCACTGTGTTGGAACACCTAGTTACAGAGCCTATTTCCACACTAAGGATCCCTTTGTGAAGCCTCTTTGAGAGGGCTGAGTTGTATTTAGGAGATGTAACATGACCAAGATTATAATCATCTTCAAAGTAATGAGATCCTGGTCCAGTCAGGAAAGTGACCTTTCATTTCAGGGCTCACCATTTTTGCCATATGGGCTGAATCTATGAAATAACTTTCCCTTTCCTGAATCACACTGTAACAGCAGAAGCAAATCAAAGCTAACCACACTCTAGTTGGGATGGCTAAAGAATAAGCCAAATTACGCTCATGAGACCCTGGAGACTTGCAGCCTCTGTGTTCCACGTACTTCCTTCCAAACCTGCCTCGAGACCTTTTATACTACAAGAGGGAAGAACCAAGAACCTAGACTGGATGCTGGGAAATGATCTGATGCACTCTTGGAAAACAAGGTGTGCTGGAACCACCGTGAACTGACCTGTTGTTTGCTTTTGTTTTCTGTAGCTGCTCGTCTTGTCTTGCATACCACTCTTCTAGCTCCTTTATTGCTTTTTCTTTCCACTCTGCTTCTTGCTTCCGAGAATTGGCATCTTTGAAGGGAGGGGGAAAAAAAGACAACACAAATGAGACAAAACATAAATTTAAGTTTGCTTCATCAATTTACTTTTTGGTCTTATTGAACTTGTCATAGTGTGTGTGTGTGTGTGTGTGTGTGTAAGGAGAATAGCAGGGAGAAAATAAAATTCTGGTTTCTTTCTCAGTACAACCAACTCTTGGTCTCAGTGATCTTATTCCTGTCTTTTATTTCATCCTATCCCAGACCACTGACACCAGCATAATTGTGACACCTTGGTGAGTCATTATAAACCTTGCTCATGGAGCCAAATAAATTTAATTCAGTTGGCATTTTTTTTCACAGAGGAGAGGAGTGTGGAAATGTGTGTGTTTGTTCTAGGCACTACCACCTGAGTGCTCTATCACTTTGAGCCATGCCTCCAGTCTCTTTTGCTCCAGATAACTTTTTTTTTTTTTTTTGCCAGACCTTGTCTGGACTATTTACACTTCCCATATTGGCTAGGGTGACAGGTGTGTACTACCACTGCCAGCCTTTTCTGTTGAGATGGGGGTCTCACCAACTTTTACCTGGGGTTGACCTTGAATCGCAATCCACCCAATCTCTGCCTCCTAAGCAGTTAGCATTAGAGATGTTGGCTAAAAAACTACTTTTAGTGGGGGGGGGGGGAACCCTTTACTAGAGGAAAAGATGGCTCAAGAATCAGAGAATGCAGAATATAGATCATCAAAGTCAGTGAGGACCACAAAATGTCTACTCCTATTTAGACTGAAGAGTTTGTGGCAAAGCCAGGACAAAGGCTGCAAAAGAAGTGAATAATGAAGAGAATCCAAGGGATAGACAAGCGATCATTATTAAGGATAACTGAAAGAGGGAAAAAATACACATCTAGCAGTTTGCCAGACTGGATTCTCAAACATGAAGTTCCTGAAAATTAGAAACATTTAGCTAAAGAGACATACATTAGGATTTGGGAAGATAAAGAAATACATGCCACAACTACTGGGGCAATAGTTGATACTTCAAACATGTTCCTAAGGACATTCTTCCTGGCACCGCATTTAAAATCTTTAGAACAATTCCCAAAAGATAAAGTCTAAGCCCATTTTCAGTAGTGAGAGAGAGAGGCGAAGCTCAGTAAATTTGAGTGAATGTCCTACGGATATTAGTGAATAGTGGAAACAAGATTCAAATCCAGGTCTGACTCTAAAGGTCACACATTGTCACCAGAAATCCAGACAGTGCTGCAAGAGCAGAATAAGACCCAACTGTAATAAATAGTGTCTTCAAGAGGAGAGGAGGGGGCTGGGAAGGTGGCTCAGTGGTAGAGCGCTTGCATTGCATGCATGAGGCCCTGGGTTCGATTCCTCAGCACCACATGAGCAAAAAGAAAAAAGCCGGAAGTGGCGTTGTGGCTCAAGTGGTAGAGCGCTCACCTTGAGCTGAAGAGCTGAGGGACAGCGCCCAGGCCCAGAGTTCAGGCCCCACGACTGGACCCAAAAAAAAAAAGGTCAAAATTGTTAGTGGCGCTGTAGCTCAAGTGGTAGAGCGCTCGACTTGAGCTGAAGAGCTGAGGGACAGTGCCCAGGCCCAGAGTCCAGGTCGACCAGCAAAAAAAAAAAAGAGGAGATAGCAGGGAAAGTATCAAAGAACTTGAAGACAGAAATGAAGCATCTTTGGTCATTTCTAGGGCCTTTGCAAGAACTATCGTAGAGCCACGATCTGCAGATATCTGAAATAGTAAGAAATAGCCTAGTAGCAGCTGAAAACAGAAGGTTAAGACCATAAAGTTTTCACTTTGTTGTTTAATTTATCAGAAGGTGACCTTAGCATTCAGGAGGTTCCTTTTTCTCAGAGTTTCCACTGACTCTCATGTATCAGGAAACTTCTGACTTGTGTCCATTTATGGCACAGTGGAATGGAGAACCCTGTGCTACACATAATGAGATGCTGTTGGCTGCTGGCACTATATAAGCAAAGAATCTGAATGCAAGGTCTCCCTGGATAGTGTTGAAAATCTTTCAGAAAAGTATTTTTGATAAGTAGTTTAATATATTCTATTGATTATTAGAATGTTTATTATATATTAAAACAAATTATCATGGAAATTTATCTGAAAAAATTGGTTTAAGTAAAATCGGGATCTTCTATATCAGGATGCAGTTACTGTACAAAGAAACATTTAAATTATCATCTGGCCTTTACAGATTTAGCAAGTGACAATGGAAGTGAGAATTCAGAATCGAACCAGGAGCTCACACCTGTAATCTTAGCTACTAAGAACTGAAGACTGCAGTTTTAATCCAGCTCTGGAAGACAAATCCAGTTAACCAACAAAAAGCTGGAACTGGAGGTGTATCTCAAATTGGAGCGCACTAAGCCTGAATGAAAAGGCCAAATCAGAGTCTTAGTACTAGCACCAAAAACATAAAATACTCAGAATCCTTAGCTTGTTACAACAGAACACAGATCTAAGCCTGAACATAGATATGGGAAGAATGAGGAGCGCAAGATACACCGACAAGCACCTTATCTGACCACCCTCACTGCTGTTCACAGAAACGTAAATAATTTATGAATGTGGGCAACAGCTAAGTTGTGAACTGCTGATACTGGTCCTGGTTCTCTATTTTTAGTTTTCTCACAGTTCTTGCAGGGAAAAAAGGTGAAACTGAAGAAACACCTTATTTGTGGACCAATTCAACTGGAATGCAAGGCCACTTCTCTAAAGAAGGTATCTTGAATTTAAAAAGCAACTTCTCATGGCTTATTCCAGAGGTACCCAACTTGACAATTAAAAATTTTCATTTATTAAAATTGAAGAATTGTCTTAGTAACAACAGCCACATGTGACCAGTGGCTTCTATTTTGGATAGTGCAGTTGCCAAATATTTTCATCATCAAAGAAAACTACTATTGCATAGTGCTGCTGTATAGGATGCAACAGTATGTCTGTTCTGAAAGCCAAATAAATTGGACTAGAAATAAAAGATCTGACACTAATTGGCTATGTTATCTGGGTCAAGGCCTTTCTTATTTCTGGGTGTTAGTTACCCCTTTTGAAAAATAAGAAGTCACATTTTCACTAAGTCAATGGTTCTCAAGAGAGAATAATACTGTCAACATGTGGCTACAATGATGAATGCCACTATTTCTAGGAAATAATATATTCAGACAGTTATGTCAGATCAGTCAAAACAAAAGTTGTGTGTATGTATAAGACATACAAATGTGCCTAATTTATATAAAAATAAACTATTGTGGTAAAAATAAATGAAAATTATTTAATCTATCAATTTTCCTCTTCTTGGGACTGTTCTATATTTGAAATTGCAACAAAGAGCTAACAAAAGAATACATTGTGGATTACATCCTTACATCCTGCCATACTCCTCTAAACCACCATGTACAACAAACACTAGCTCTCTCCTGTTCTTATGAAGTAAGTGATACTCCAGGCCCACAACACTTTTACCAAAGGCCAAGGTGGCTAGTGTCAATGCTGGGCTTGGCCTGCCTACGTTTTATTTATTTATATATATATATATATATATATAACATACATTTAGAAAGTACTGTGGCTGGAAGGAATGGCTATGGACCTTGAAGCAAGGCAGAGTGAGACTGAGACTCTACTACTTCATAGCTGTGTGTTTCAAATACTTATTCTAACTATGACCCACTTACTTCATCTGTAAAAAGCAAAAATTTTCCTTACAGGGATGGTAAAGTTAAAAAAAAAAGTGTACACATTTTCTGTCAGGGTTTGGATATGTGTTCTCCCCCCCCCAAAAAAAAAAAACTTCATGTGATAAAAATTTGGTATCCAGCTAATGGCAGTTATTAGGAAATGACTGGTTGGTTCATAAAGACTCTGACATCATTATTATTTTTTTTTGGTTGGTCGTGGAGCTTGAACTCTGGGTCTGGGTGCTGTCCCTCAGCTCTTCAGCTCAAGGCAAGTGCTGTACAAGTTGAGCCACAGAGACACTTCTGATTTTCTAGTGGTTTATTGGAGATAAGAGTCTTACAGACTTTCCTGCCGGGTTTGACTTTGAACTGTGATCCTCAGATCTCAGCCTCCTGAGTAGCTAGGATTACAGGCATGAGCCACAGGTGTCCAGTGGCTCTGACATTAATGATCAATCCATTGATGAATTCATCATTGATAAAACTATAGAGAAGGATAAAACCTATGGAAGGCAGGGTCTGATTGGAGGAAGTTGGTGGCTGGGTTTGCCTTCAGAGTATATATCCTGTCCTTGGCCTTTTCTGTTCTCCTTCCTGGCTGCCATAAGGCAAATAGCTTTCCTCCATCATGACCTTCCACCATCATGATGTTTCAGCCCTGCCAAAGGCCGGAAAGTGGCCTGCAACCAGCCTAAAAGCAATGATGACAGCTAAGCAAGAACCGAAACCTCTGATGTTGTAAACTAAATCTTTTCTCTTATAAGAATTTTGTCAAAGCAGAAAGTAACTAACACATCTCCCATATATTCCTTGTATAAGTGTTACCTTAATCCTTCAGATAACTATGAAGCTCTCCTGCATGGAAATAATATTTTCAAGCTTACAAAGCACTCTCATAAATAGTACCTTAGACTACCCTTAAGGTCAGTAATGCCAATCTTCCTTCTCTGATGATGACACACTCTGAAGGGTTTGAACCACAAAACGCAAAAGGCCCACAGTTGCCCAGTCTTTCACTGCAGTGGAGGGCTCTTTCCATAGATCACTGTGTTCTTTCTGGAGAGGTGGCTCTTTTGAGTTACAGTATTACTCACACAATAGCCTAATCAACATGAGGCATCTCCCATGAGTGTTCTTATCTTCAAGTTAAAAAGGATAAAAGCAGAGTTAACAATTCAATTGAAAACAGATACTCAAAGACAAAAAGAGATTGCTTTCTTACCAAGGGCTTCCAAGCGTTCAGTTTGCTCTTCTCTCCATTTACGAATACTTTCAGGCTCTGACTGTAATCGGTCCACTTGTGAAATAGCTGCGTAACTGTCTGTCGGACCATTACTCTCCTTAACACAAAACACAATTGCAGTCTATCAGTACCAAAAACTCTTTCCTGAAATGAGCTTCATAAAAATTAGAACCTTCGGTTACGTGCAGCACGGGTGGCTATTGCAGAATATTAAGGAATTACCTTAAAAGTGACAGTATATTCTTACATGGCAATAGGAGCTTTAAACATTACTGAACTGAATCTTCACTATCTCATAAGGGTGGCAGAATAGTTGTTACCTTACCTGTTAAGAAGTGGGACACAAACAGGAGATAGGAAAGTTGGGGGTGGGTGGATAACAGAATGTATTAGGAAACCGTGTTAGCAGTTTGTTTTGTCACTTGACACAGATTCTGTGGTATTTTCAAAGTGACAAAGCTAAGTACAGAGCAAAACAAGGCCTAGAGTCTAAGACTTCAAAATATTATTACACCACACAAAAACAAGTCATTAAATACTATCTAATCAAAACATAGTAATTAAGAATTTTTAAATGTAGTTATTACAGTTAAGAGAGAAAATGGAAAAAAAAATGAGTCACAGCAAATGTGACAGAACTCCATTATAGTAGGTTAGATTTGAAGACTAACATCAAACATTAATTTTTTAATCAAATAAGTATTAATCATTAGACTTATTCTACTTGCTCAACTGGGAAATATTAACAGCTTAACCTTGCCAGACTAAATTACTTAAAATATTAGTGACTAACTATTACAGTACTTGATATACTATTTAAGTTGACCATTGTCATCATCACAAAGGGCCATCTTGAAAATAAGCATGCTAACACTAGCTGGCTCTATGGATGCCATCTCTTTTTAAATTCTCCTCTTTGGAAGGTTATATGCCTACCACCTACTAATATATCCAGAAAAGTCAGAGAAGTCAGAGGACCAGGGTCTCCAGCGAGAGCAATCAATGCTAATCACAGAAAGGCTCCAGGATCATTATCATTCAACATTATCAGAGTATTCTGTACCTGATAGTATTCGCCATTCATCACTCCATCAACAGCATCTGTAAGATATAAGATTTTAGTCTGTCAATTGGGGCTGGTTAAATACAAACCAAAGAATTACACAGTGGAATATAGTACTGAATACTTTTTTTTTTTTTGGTCATGGGGCCTGAACTCTGGGCCTGAGTGCTATCCCTCAGCTCTTCAGCTCAAGGCTAGTGCTCTACCACTTGAGCCACAGTGCCACTTCCGGCTTTTTTCTTTTTGCTTATATGGTGCTGAGGAATCGAACCCAGGGCCTCAGGCATGCAAGGCAAGCGCTCTACCACTGAGCCAACTTCCCAGCCCTAGTACTGAATACTTTAAGTATTGTGAATTACTAAATACTACTACCCCTTTGGTAGGTATTAGATACAACTCTTTTTTTTTTCTTCTTCACTAATGAAGAAACTAAGATGTGCTATAACCAAATAACTTCTTCAAAATGTGGACAAATCTGTCCCCAAGCTCCCAGTTCCATGATTTTATTATTTTCTGGCCAAGAGAGATGACAAATGGAACCCTGACAGAACTGCTGCAATGAGTTACTTCTCTTTGAAAGTTCTGGCAAAGTCTGGCCTGGAATTCCAGTGAGCAGAAATGTACAGCTCCATTTTCAAACAAAGCTGCTTTTTTCAACTCATACTGTGGTTTAGAGTAGGGGTGACACTAGGGTCTACACTGAGACTTATTGATTCTTCTTATTTGGAATTAGGGCAAAGCAGTTTTTAGTATCCCAGGGCTATTACAGTGTTGGTAGGAATGTAAACTAGTACAAACTACTCTAGAAGACTGGAGATTCCTCAAAAACCTAAACACAGAATTTCCCTATGACTGGACCATACCACTCTTGGGCATCTACCCAAAATATTATGTCAAGATACAGTAAAGAAACTTCCACATCCACATTCATCATGTACTATTTACAATAGCCAAGTTAGGGAAATAACCCAGATGCCCTATAATTGATTAGTGGATCACGAAAACGTGGCACACAATGGAATTTTACTCATCCATAGAAAGAATAATATTATGTCATTTGCAGGGAAATGGATAGACCTAGGGAAAACCATGTTAAGTGAAGTTAGCCAGGCTCAGAGAGACAAACAGGGTATGTTGTCTCTCATATGTAGAAGCAAGATCTAAATATGCATGATAACATATAAAGGCTCAATGTACTTACACACAATCCAAGGTTGTAATTCCTCTGAACTAAAATACCGTTTATCAAAGTTTACAACTTTGGTGGGGGGGTTGGGGAGAGGAGGATTGGGTGGGGGAGGGGGAGGATGGGAAGGGATGGGAAGGGGAAACAAAGGAGGAGGCTACAATGTTTGATAAGAAATGTACTCATTATCTTGCCCATGTAATTGTAACCCCTCTGTACAGTATTTTCACAATAAAAATTTAAAAAAAGGAAAAAATACCATTTATCAATGTGAATAGCAGCAGTGGAAATTTGTGGGAAAGGGGGCACACGAATGGAGTGAGGGTGAGCAAATGTAGTCATTATAGCTAGTGTACATTATATTAGAAAATCAATTACAAGCTCCTGTAATCCTAGCTACTCAGGAGGCTAAGATCTGAGGACCATGATATGAAGCCAGCCTGGACAAGAACCAATTAACCACCAAAAAACAATAAGCAGGAAGTGCTAGGCGCCAGTGGCTGGCCCAGAGTTCAAGCCCCACAACAGATCAAAAAAAAAAAAAAAAGCAGGAAGTGAAGCTATGAGGCAAGTGACAGAGTGTTGGTCTTGAGCAAAAAGCTTAAGGACAGCACCCAGGCCCTGAGTTCAAGCCCCAGAACCAGCACACATACACACAGACAGGCATGCATGCAAATGTGATGAACCATCTAGTCTTTTTGACACAATTAACTATTCATGTGTTCATAAATAAGAAAGAGCATCTCAGAAGTGAGAGAAATGTCTAAGACCTATTTATAATCCTGGCTTTCTCAGCCTCCAAAAACTGTGATCAATAAATTTCATCTGTTTTATTTTTTCAAAAATTTGAAGTTATATAAGCCAGACCTATTTTAAAATACATAGTATTAAGTAAGGAAATTAGAATTTTCAATGTTTTAGAGGGAGAAAAGGCAACCAGACAAAAAAACCCAGCGTTATAGGGCCTGCAGTCTTGAGCTGGCAATACAGTAATTGTCATGAACTAAAGGCAGCCCCACTTCTGGCTCTTTTTCTGTTTATGTGGTACTGAGAATTTGAACCCAGGGCTTCATGCATGCATGCTAGGCAAGCACTCTACCACTAAGCCAACTTCCCAGCTCTCAAGGCAGCCTTTAAAGGGGCATATCCTGGTCAATCCAATTCCCACAGTTCCACTAACTAATTTTTAAAACTCTTTTCTGTGTTTTACTAGTTTTATTACTAGACTACCAGCTAAGTAATTTCTAAGCCCTGCTAACATAACAGCTCTGAGAGAAGGTATGTGCAAAGCTGTACTATGCCTATCCTCTGTCTTCTACTGATAGCTGCTTGGAGCTACTATCAAAGCTTCCACTGATTTATTGTATCATTTATTGGCTGGCTGGTCAATTTATAACCCACTGTGTAGGGCTTCTATTATTTTATCCCATTTTTTTTCTTTCAACTTTAGTGCCAATCTTATAGAATGGAAGATGGAGAAGATATAAGCCTTAAAGTGACAGGAAGAGAGCCAGGTAATTATGGAAAGCCAGTGTTTTGAGGTCGTCACAGGGCAGTGCATAGCAGTATCAGAGCTTCCCTAGAGGCTTGGGGCACAGCAAACCATTCCTCTTCCTTCTGACACTCTTAACTAATTAAATCCAACCAAACTGTCTATTTCCAAGTCAATGCTAATATTTTAACCATTCTTTGGGTCTCTTGCTTCACCCAAGTCTCTTCCCTTTGGCTTAGGGGTACTAAAAACTTTTATAGATTATATTCCCACTGATACTAAAACATTTATTATTTTGCAAAAAAAGGGGGGGGGAGAGGAATGAAGACAGAAGAAAATGTTTATAATCCATCACTGAGTCCTGTATATTTAGTTTGTCTCATGTACATACATTTCTTTCAGCCAAACAAGCCTCCTCTGATACATGCCTTCTAGTAATCCATTCATTCATATCATCATTAAGTTTTCAGTTTTCCTATACACATGTATCAGCACTTCACATACACACACACACACACACACACACACACAACTTGGCATATGTGTAGGGTTCCTTGTAAGGTGAATAGGTAGGCACTCTAGAAAGAGTAGATAATGATACCATTTTCTCTTTGCAGTAAATTTATGTGTATGTGTGTATGTGCGCGTATACACACACACACACACACACACACACACAATTTTTTTTTTGGTCGGTTGTGGAGCCTGAACTCTGGGCCTGGACACTGTCCCTCAGCTCTTCAGTTCAAGGCTAGTGCTCTACCACTTAAGCCACAAAGCCACTTCTGGCTTTTTCTGCTTCTGTAGTGCTGAGGAATTGAACCCAGGGCCTCATGCATGCAAGGCAAGCACTCTACCACTGAACTACCTTCCCAGCCCAATTTGTGTATATTTAAAAAAATTGCATGTGAGGCTGGGTGCTAGTGGTTCATACCTGTATTCCTAACTACTCAGGAGGCTGAGATCTGAGGATGACAGCTCAAAGGCAGCCCAGGCAAAAAATGTCTGTGACTCTTACCATCAATAAACTCAAGTCATAGACGCTAGCCTTAAAAAAAAAAATCTCAGGGACAGCACCCAAGCCCAGAGTTCAAGCCCCAGGACTGGCAAAAAAAAAAAAAAAAAAGCATGTGAAATAACCATTATTAGTGTTGCGAGGGCTAAGGTGTAGCTTAGTAGTAGTGTTTGCCTAGCACATGTGAAATACTGTATTCAGTCCCCAGCATGGAGAAAAAAAAAGTGCTAAACTTGCCGGGTGCTGGAGGCTCATTCCTGGCTCACACCTATAACTGTAACTACTCAGGAGGCTAAGATCTGAGGATTGTGGCTGGAGGCCAGCTCAGGCAGGAAAGTCCAAGAGGTTCTTATCTTCAATTAACTACCAAAAAAAAAAAAAAAAGCCAGAAGTGGAGCTGTGACTCAAGTGGTAGAGTGGTAGGCCTGAGCACAAAGGCTCAGGGACAGCACCAGGCCCTGAATTCAAGCCCCAAAACAAACAAACCAACAACAAATCCAACAAACCAAGAACAAAACAAACCAACACAAACAAAAAAAAGTGCTGTAACTTGAGCAAGCTAGAATAACAAAAGAAAGATTTCTGTCAATTTGATACATGAATACAAACGGGATCTAAGCAGATTGCAACCCACCTCAGCTTTGATCTGTTTCAACTACAGGTTTGTATATTTCCACTAGTTCAAAATACTTGCCATATTTTTCTTAACTTGTTTACCTTAGCTGTTTTACTTTTGTGCTACTTAACTTTTTCTAATGCTAGGGATCAAATCCAAGGCCTCATGAACACATGCTCTACAAAGGATAATCATTCCCAGCCACTCCTGTGTTGTACTCAAGACAGCCTTTTTAGTAACTTTTAGTACATTTTTACTCTTTGCTTAAAAAACTTACTAGCTTTGGAGTAGCAGAGCAGTATCCTTGAGCAAAAAAATTAAGGCAAATCACCTGGGCCAAATTCAAGCCTCAGTACTGGTGTGTATATTCACACATGCATACACACATGTATAACATACATCCAGTTAGAAGCTGTAAATGGTGGTGTACGACTGTAGTCCTAGCACTCAGGAAGCTAAGGCAGGAGAACTGAGAATTTGAGACCAACCTAAGCTATACAGTAAGTCTGTCTTAACCAAATCAAACCAAACCATGAGTTAGAGGTAGCATACATTCTTTACTGAAAACTGACATATTTAACTGTTCCTCTTTGTTAAATTCCCTGTTGTAGAATTGCTGGATCACCAGATATATTTCTAGACCTACATTGACTAAAGACTGCTTTATCATGCTTTTTAAACTTTTGCTAAATAAACTGATAGTAAAGGAGAAAAAAAAAACAAATGAAAAACTTCATGGAGACTTGTTACAAGGTATTAATATACCTCACACTTGATTTTTTTTTGCCTTGCTGAACTGAGTTTTGGCTATTTTTTGCCTTATCTCTAAGTGTTCTGTATGTGTAGCCCAGTCACATTGCAAATATTTTCCTCAATTTGTCTCAATTTTTTCTTTCTTTTCTTTTTTTGGGGTCTGGTCATGGGGCCTGAATTCTGGGCCTGGGCGCTGTCCCTCAGCTCTTCAGCTCAAGGCTAGTGCTCTACCGCTTGAGCCACAGCACCACTTCCGGCTTTTTCTTTTTGCTTATGTGGTGCTAAGGAATCGAACCCAGGGCCTCAGGCATGCAAGGCAAGCGCTCTACCACTGAGCCACCTTCCCAGCCCCTCAATTTTTTCATTTGTATGTAGGCACTGCCAATTCCTCCATTTGCTTTTATACTGACAGATACTCACTTCTATTATTTTTTAAAATGTCTTTCTTTAATACACTTGCAAATTTTTTGTGTAAAATAGAAGAATGAGATAGTTTTAAATCCTAGAGTCTATACAATGCCAAGTCTGGCTAGTCCCATATAATGGTTAATATATTACAACTAACATCTCATCTATCCAGTTAATAAATTCCACCCCAGGGCCACTTTCAGAAGAAAAAAAACTTTGATCATTACTTCATATACCAAACTAGAAGTAACCTTCATCCTATACTTCCTAAACTACATGCTGCCTGCCCTTTGCTCTGAGACCCATCCAGACTCTACTATGTGCTTTGAGTTCTTCACTGTACTACTGTATCAACATTCTTTACTATGGTATGAACTTGGAGCCTGTCCCTTGTAGGTGGACATTTTAGCACTCAGCCATGCCTCTATCCTTTTTGATAGTTTGTTTGTTCTTTTTTTTTAGATGAAGCCTAGCAAATTTTTCTGTCCAGCTGGCCTTGAACTATGAGTTCTAGATTAGTCTCCTAAGTAGTAGAATTAGTCTCCTAAGTAGTAGAATTACAGGGGTGAATAATCAGCAAGTATAAATCAACTGACCCAAGTCAAAGGTTAGTCCACTGCTCTAGAAACATACAGAAAGGGATACCTAGAGCCACTGACTTAATAGGACAACTAAGCTAAGCAACTCAATAATTCAGAAGGAAACTTTCAAGGCCATCTTAGGAACCCCAGAAAGAAACAAGGGCCAGAATAAGTTTCCAATAGGAAAAAGACTATCTCAAAACAGAAGTTACCAGGTTCCTAAAACATACGAAGCCAAGCAGAATGAGGTCTGAATCCCAACTGAGAACAATTAGCTTGCTACACTAGGATCACTGCTTAATGTCCAGTGACCAGTGACCAGTTCTCATCTGAAATGAAACACTACCACTTAGCTTTCAGTTACGGCACAATTCAGAAAGAATATGGAGTAGTGACATTTTCTAACTGTGCAGTATTCTTTCAGTATTACACATGACACTTCTACCAATAAAATTACTCCAGAAAGCATCCCTTTTCTATCTCTTTTTTTCCCTCCAAGAATGGACTTGTCCAAAGCACAATGCCTTGTTGTACTTCTTAGTTCCTTGACTACTTCTGTTCTCCTCCCACCTCAGCCCACATTATGGGGGGATTTTCAATAGCCCCACTTACACTGGCTGCCTCACTGACAGTCCATTGTTCAATATCCCTACCACCACCACAAAGCCACTTCACCCAGTTGGTTACCTCCAGCCTCTAAATTTTTCTTCTCACTTCCTAACAACCGAGTTCACAGATCTCTTTCTTTCTTCCTGTACCCATTTTGCACAGTAATTTTCTTCAAGGCTGAATAAAGCAAGTTTAACCTCCCCCACCCCTCTCCTTAATCTTTATCTCTTTGATAGCACATCAGGAAGAGCATCCTAAATACACCTCCAAAGCCTATAAGCCTCATAATTATTTCTCCTTACCTGAAGGATATAGCAGCTAGACCTGAAAGATATAGCAGCTAGAATTAAGTGGATTCTTACTATACACCAATAAACATTTTACAGACAGTTCTTTTTGGCTGTATTGGGCTTTGAACTCAGGGCTGTGCATACTTACTATATACCAGTAAACATTTTACAGACAGTTCTTTTTGGCTCTGTTTGAACTCAGCGCTACACACTTGCTAAACAGATACTCCACCGCTTTAGCCATGCCTCCAACCCCAAGTTCAAATGTAATGCTAAAAACATTGTGCCATATATTATCACCTTTTACAGAAAAAAGGCTGAGCAGTGATGCAGTTTTATAAATCGTCTCAGACAACAAAGCTAAAACCACACTCAAAGAGCAAGGAAAGCCTAAAATGGGGGGAGAAGGGGAGAGGAAGGGAGGAAGGGAGGGAGAAAAGGAGAGGGACAGAGAGAAAGGGGGGAGGGAGAGAGGGAAAAAGGGAGGGAGGGAGGGGAGGACGGGGGGGGGGGGAGAGGGAGACAAAAAGAGAGAGAAGTTCTCTTATTCTTAAAGTGCTGACTGCTGCATTATTACCAACAGTCAAGGATCTGGCCTTAAGTCACTAAACGCTTAGTTCACTAAGAAAAGCTTTCCCAGGAACTAAGTCAGCAATCACCCCTTTCCTTCCCTTTGCTGAATGCTTGATGAATAAAGGACCAAAGTATCCAAAGCTATTCTCTCCTTTTCACTTTTCAAACTGTCTACCACCAAGAGCTGTGTGTTTTGGCTCATTCCTTCTATGTGTCAGACACCTTTGCTCCCAAGAGTGATCACTAATAACACTGTTTTTGAATCACAAGTCTTCTGAGTCCTGCTTTGCCCAATCCTTGCTATCCAGAACAGCCACAATCTTTCTTTTATCTCAAGACACCTTGCCTAAACAAACTGCAATGGAATGTAGTACAGCTTAAAGGTCAGGAAACTTGGGGCTCAGCTATTAACTCATCTTTTTTTTTCTTAAGCAAGTCATCTCACTAGTATTCAGTTTTCTATTAAATGAAGCGGGGAGGGGGGGTGCTAATTAAGGAGTAAAAACTTTTAATCCCCAGCCTAAGGAATATAGCTCTTAATCACTAAATCAACTTCATATCCTTATCACTGCCTAGTTCTGTCCAATCTGCTTGCTGTAAATTGTATATTTAGTCACATTATAAGTGCTTTAACTCAAGAGGCTGTAATCCCCCTCTTCCTAAAACTATTCTGTCTGGCATAGTAATGTGAGATTGTGTATTAACACAACACTACTCTACTGAACCAAAGCCTAAGTCTTCAACATTTCCTAACTGTTCTATGCCCGGCCTGTTTTACTCATTTATGTTCGGTGCCTGGCTCCTTAAGGACAGAGTTTAGGGTAGTATAAACATTCTTATTTTCTCCAATGACACCCTATTCTCCTATAGTTGGATTTTTTTTCCAGACAAACTCTATGTTGTTCAGTTTGGTCTTGAACTCGTGATCCTCCTGCTTCAGCCTCCTGAGTAGCTAGGTACAGACACTCAGCTTGGTTTCTTGTTTTTAGTACATGAAAAGCCATTGTCCATTCTCCTAATTTCCTACTTCCCAGTACTAATGAGCCTGTCTTTCCCACTCTTTTCTCCTACACCACAATCTTAAGCATCAAACCCAGGTAAGGCATTCAGAGGTCAATTTTTTTCTCTCCCTTCCCAACTCCTTACGCTCTCTAGTCATCTCCTCTTTCCTCCGTAAGTAGTGAAATCTTGGACAACATTTCCTAAGAAAAGCTGTTCCCAGAAGAACAAGTCTTAGCCGTGACACAACCAAAGAATGGCAAACATCTATCACTCTTGGCCAGCTTCTTTTCCCAAGGTTGGACCATCTTTCTTGAGTTTCATATTGATTCCTAACCCCCCACTCTGCTCTGCCATTTTTGATCGTACGTCTCAATAATGATACTGTTCCAAGTCTGGCCAAAATGCGCCAATGCGGATGATTCTGAGTTCGGGCCTAAAGGGCAGCGAGTGTTGAATGAAAAGTTGGACGGGCTTTCGGGCTACTGAGCCTCCTAGCCACGGTGTTTGCTTTCTCGCTCTGCTGGGGCCCGACCGCACTCCGGCCCCCTTGGGGAACCGGGGCAGGTCCCGGAGGCCGAGGTTGGTGCCGGCGTGACCGGCTTGGGGGGGGGGGTCTCGTGTCCTCCGGGCGCTCGCTTCTAACCTCTCTGGTTCGGCCAGGAGAACGCACACGGAAGCGCTCGATCCTACCCGGGGCCGCCGTCCCCGCCCCAAACGCGCCCGCATTCTCACCCGGACCCCCCGGCGGCTCGCCGTGCGGCTGAGGCCCAGGGGCGCCGCCGTCCAGGATGGCGAAGGCCTCGTCGTTCTCGATGCCCGCGATTTCGCTCTCCTGCTGCGCCAGGAAGGCTGCGGCCGGGTCTTCCTCACCGGCGCCGGCCACTCCATTCCCCAGCGCGGGGCCTCCGGGAGCGCCGGCAGGGGCGCCGAACGGGTCTAGCTCAGCCATGGCGGGCAATTCAACGGCGCAGACACCAACGTCAAGAGACAACCAACCGACCCACCAGAACTGCACCGGGAGGCAGCCTCGGTGGTGGCGACTACGAGCGGAGGACAAGCCGGAGGGAGGGAGAAGTAGAAGCGGAAGCACTGCTCCTATATCCGGTTGAGTTAGGCACCCCGAAGGGAACAGCCAATCCAAGGACGGGAGATACCCAATCAGAAGGCTGAGGGCGGGCTCACAGAGACAACTCGTGACTCGGCGGCCAGCCTCCGGGGCCCAGGGAGGCGGAAGTGCCACCTGACCGAAAGTGATGTTCGCTGCTTTGCGCCCGGCCGCCAGCTCTGCGGGTACTTTCCCTGCAGGGGGAGGTGAGTGCCGCGTGGGCAGCCTCCTCTGGCTGAGTCTGAGGTTTCCGCCTGATCAGTTTCCTCCTTTGTAAAGTGGGACGAAGAATCCTCCGTGGCCTCTCTTCTGGGATTATTCAAAGACGGAACTCTCTTACAGAGATAGAATGACTTCATAAAAGTTTTTTTTAATGTAATTTATTCACCCATGATTATTATTATTTCTTTCCTTGGAGCTTGACTTTGATTCAAATTAGCAACGATTTTTCTCCCTTAAGAATTTTGTATAAAAAGGCGAGTATCTTCTTGGACAAAGCACTCTTAGCCAGTATGCCTTTTAAGAGCTAGAGAGAAATTTCTAGAACTGGGAAGTACCACGGAGATCACCAGCTTCACAGGGAAACTTCTGTGGATATTTCCGCAGGAGCTGGGGGGGGGGGGGGGGGGAGGGGAGCGGTTGTTCAGAGCCCAAGAGGAAATCCTGCTTCCACAAGGACTTCCAAGATGGTTCTAGCCACAACCTTGCCCAGCAAGGGGCAACAGGAACTTTCTTTAGATAGGAAGTTCCTTCTGTATTTAAATCAGGGTCATGTGAATAACGGAGCTAATTTTATCCACACCAACTAATAAAGTGATCCCAGCAAATCATGATTGTATTAAGAGCATGTACAGCAGGTAGCAAGACATTTCTATTACAAATAAACAAAACACACAGGGCCTTTATAGGCCCAGCTACTTGGGAAGTTCAGGCAAAATTATGTGAGTCCAGGAGTTTGAGGCCAGCCTGAGCAACATATCAAAACCCCATCTCAAAAACAGAAAGGGAAACAAACTACCCCCCCCCCAAACAAGCAACCCCAAAGGTCAAAGATGCCTTCAGAGACAGTCAACAAGAGATAAAAAGTTTTTTAATGAATGTATTTTAATGACAAAAATGGTAATTACTTAAAACATTTACTTTTTTTTTTTTTTTTTGCCAATCCTGGGCTTGAACTCAGGGCCTGAGCACTGTCCCTGAGCTTCTTTTGCTCAAGGCTAGCACTCTACCACTTGAGCCAGAGTGCCACTTCCTGCTTTTTCTGAGGAATCGAACCCAGAGCATCATACATGCTAAGCTAGCACTCTACCACTAAGCCACATCCCCATCCTCATTTACTTTTGAAGTCATGTTAACTATGGTATGTAGAAATATTTTAAAGAAAAATAAGACAAAGTTTTAAGGTCTGCAGTGGATGCTGCAGTAGACTTCTCCTTAATACTCCCTCTTAATGTAAATTGGTAATTAGAAAAAGTGCTGCTGGGGCTGGGAAGGTGGCTCAGTGGTAGAGCGCTTGCCTTGCATGCATGAGGCCCTGGGTTTGATTCTCAGCACCACATAAGCAAAAAGAAAAAAGCCGGAAGTGGCACTGTGGCTCAAGTGGTAGAGCACTAGCCTTGAGCTGAAGAGCTGAGGGACAGCGCCCAGGCCCAGAGTCCAGGCCCCACGACCGGACCCAAAAAAAAAAAGAAAGAAAAAGTGCTGCTCCCCTGAAATTCCAGTACTCATTCAAGAGGCTGAGGCAGGAGGATGAGGAATTTGAGGCCCTGCCTTAAAAGATTAAAAAATAAAAAGGCAACGCATCAGGCCTTGTGGCATATTTCTGGCCTTGCAGTACACACTTGTAAATCTGGGAAGGAAAAGGTCATGAGTAGGAGGCCTTCCACGGCTATGTAGCAAACTTTTAAGACAACAACAACAAAACAATGAAGACATTATAGCTGGGCATGCCAGTGGGTCATGCCTGTAATTTTGGCTACTCAAAAGGCTGAGACCTGAGGACTGCAGTTCAAACCAAGCCCACGCAAGAAAGTCCATAAGACTCATCTCTAGTTAACCACCAAAAGGCCCAGAGTGGGAGCTGTGGCTCAAGTGCTAGAACACGAGCCTTGAGCAAAAAGCTCAGGGACAGGGCCCAGGCCCCGAGTTCAAATCCCAAGACCAGCACACAACAAAGATTAGAGCTGGGCATTGGTGGCTCATACCTGTAAGCCTAGTTACTCAGGAAGCTAAGATCTGAGGCTCTCAAGTTCAAAGCCAGCCCAGGCAGGAAAGACTGAGACTTTATCTCCAATTAACTACCAGGAAACTGGAAGTGGAGCTGTGGCTCTAAGTGGTAGAGGGCTAGTTGTGAGCAGAAGAGCTCAGAGACAGTGCCCAAGCCCTGGGTTCAAGCCTCAGGATAGACAAGTGTGTGTGTGTGTGTGTGTGTGTGTGTGTGTGTGTGTGTGTTTAATTGGAAGCAATATATGAAGCATTTTCCTCATTGATCCCTTTGAAACATCTCTTTAAGGATAAGGACAGAGATCACCACAGAAGGGTCCAAGACAAACAAGTAGAAGCTGAGGGACAGACAGGACTCAAGGAAATCCATGAGTAGGAGAAACTTCTTCAAGCTTTGTTTGAAGAGGCATCATGTCTTATGCAAAATCAACAAACACCTAGACAGCTAAAACTGAGAGAAGTCAACTGGTATGTGTAAAGATAACTTTTCTAAGGTGACTTGATCTATTGAAATATGGGTGAAATTTATAACGAGTAAAAAATGGGGGTCTGATGTAATTGTTGTGTAAAAAGTTAGAGATGGGCAAATACTTGACATACTTAAGGACAGTGGATAAACCCAATAGCTCAGCATCCTACCCTTATGACCCTGTAGACTTAATATCTAGAGAGAGAGCACGTAAGAGACAGAGACTGATTGAGAGGAAGATTTTAAGGAATTGATCATTGAAAGCTTGACAAGTATAAAAATTTCTGAAAACCCAAGGAGAGTTTATGTTGAAGTTCAAGTCCAAAGGCAGTCTACTTCATTTCTTTCTTTTTTATTGTTATTATAAAGGTGATGTACAGAGGGATTACAGTTACATGTGAGGAAGAGAATACATTTCTTTCTGGACAATGTTACCCTCACTCTCTCACTTTTTCCCTCCTGACACCATCTATAAGTTCTTTCATTTTTTTATTAATACCTTTGATCATATAAGGCTCCAAATATGAGGCATCCTATGCTGTTTTTCTCATGGCATACTGATTTAAATATTAATCTTAAAATACATCTTCACAGACATATCTAGAGTAATGTTTAACCATTCGACCTAGTCATGTTTACAAGTATGGCTCCATTTTAGATCTTCTAGATTGTAGAGTTAGCCTAGTAGCCAGCAGACCTAGCCAGCAGACAGAATGGAAAAGTTCAGGAGGTGAAGAAACAGGGATGGAGATATAGGAAAGAGGCTTACCTAGGACTTCTGGACAGTAAAATCAAAAGAATAGTTGGGTTGTTAGATTGTTGTTGCTGTGACAAATACCTGCAATAACAACTTAATGCAGAAAGGATTTCTTTTTGGCTCATGATTTCAGTCCATGGTCACTTGGCCCCCTATGCTTAGATCCACTATCCGAAGACTAAACTTTCACACACAAGGGCTTTGGGAGCTAACTTTCTATCTAATAGTAGAAAGGGAGGATAGTGGCTCAGATCTATAATCCTAGTCAGGAGGCTGAAATCTGAGGATTAAGGTTCAAAGCCAACCTGGGCAGACATCTGAGAGACTCTTGTCTCTAATTAATGAGCAAAAGGCTAGAATTGGACATGAGGATCAAGGCCTTGAGTTTGAGCCTCAATACTCTTTCTCTCTCTCATTAGTAATGGGGGGGAACTATTCTGAGGGTGGGAAAGGGAGAAGTGGAGAGGGGAATGTAATAGGGAGCACATCAGGGAAGAGCCCTGGGTTAGGAAGAGATCAGACCCTTCCTCTTCAGCACTTGCCTAGGGCCAAGCCAAGGGACACATGGTTATTTTTGAGTCTTACCCTTTAAAAAAAAGTTAGCCAAGAGAAGGGCAATAAGAAGGGGATGTGTGTGTGTGTGTGTGTGTGTGTGTGCAATATAGGTGCAAGTGGTGACAGGGCATGGAGAAGGCATTGAGGGTAGTATAGAGTAAGCACTGAAAAGGTGGGAAGCTAGTCATATAGGAGATAAGTACTTTCTCACTGTCTTTCTTTCCTAGACCCTTAGAGCTGAGGCAGGGGTCTGACTTTCAGTCACCTGTGTGGATTGATGAAGTAGTATTTGAGAAGGAGCTCAGTAGAGAAGAATCATGAGACAATGGGACAATGGTTTGAAGTCCAAAGATCTGTGTGCTGGATGTTAGGTCCTTAGTATAATGCTATTGAGAGGTGCTGGGGCTTTTAGGAGATAGGACTTACTGATAGGTACTTGGCTCCTAAGTGTGTTTGATGGGATTAATGGTGATTTCAAGGAGTGGGTTAGGTGTTGCAGGATTGGATAGATTCCTTCAAGAGCAGATTTTTGTTGTTGTTGTTATTCATCATGGGGCTTGAACTCTGGGCCTGGATGCTGTCCCTCAGCTCTTCGGCAAAAGGCAAGTACTCTACCACTTGAGCCACAGCGCCACTTCTGGTTTTCTGGTGGTTTATTGGAGATAAGAGTCTCATGGACATTTCTGCCTGGGCTGGCTTTGAACCACAATCCTCAGATCTCAGCCTCCTGAGTAGCTAGGTTTATAGGCGTGAGCCACCGGCCCCTGCTTTCAGAGCAGATTTTAAAAGAGTGAGCTTGAAGCTGGCTCCTGCCTGTAATCCTAGCTACTCAAGAGGCTGAGATCTGAGGATCATGGTTTGAAGCCAGCCCAACTAGGAAAGTTTGTAAGACTTACCTCTAATTAAGCACCAAGACAGGCAGAAAGTGGAGCTGTCTCTCAAAGTGGTAGAGAGCTAGCCTTGGACAAAAAGAGCTCAGGCAGTGCCCATCCCTGAGTTCAAGCCCCAGAAACCCCCCTACCC